ACATTTTTGGTGAGGCAATTAATTGATTGCCTTATCCGAAATATGTGGTTTGTTTATATATATATATATGTGTGTGTGTGTTGTGATCACAGAGTAACAATGTTATACTGTTTAATAATACAAAGAGGCATATAAAAACTATGTGAGGCATCATTATATTGAATGTTGAATACTGAATGTTGAAACTGTTAATACACCATTCAAAGGGTATAACTTAAGAACTCCTTTATTCTTCTGTAGGTTGTATTAGATGTTGGATGTGGAACTGCAATTTTATCAATGTTTGCAGCAAAAGCAGGAGCTAAACATGTGATTGGAATTGACCAATCAGAAATTGTCTACCAAGCAATGGACATAGTAAGGTACAACTGCCTTTGTATTACAGGAATGAGCAGTTTTCAGAGGTGCATAACAAATTACGCTTTGTTGTATTTGATAATAATGATATTTCTTTATTCTTCCAGAGAAAATGGGCTTCAGAATGTGGTGACACTTATAAAAGGCAAGGTGGAGGAAGTTGAACTTCCAGTAAAGCAGGTATTTATGTTTGTTATTTTATCAATTATATTACAATTTGGTAATCATATACTTAAAACATTATTATTTAAGTAATAAATTTAAATTATTTTTATTAAAATTATATATAAACATTAAAAACTAAAAAAAAACTTTTACCACATCTGACTATGTGTGTTGCTATTTTTAGGTTGATATCATTATATCTGAGTGGATGGGTTACTTTCTTCTCTTTGAATCCATGTTGGATTCTGTACTCTTTGCTCGAAACAAATATCTTCAACCAGATGGTGCAGGTAAGGCCACAGCTTATATTAGTGTGCTATTTGATTTATTTAAATAAATTCTTATTCAATTTATATTGTAAGAGATTAAATTGTTATACTCCGTAGACATTTTTTTTAGTTTAAATATAATACTTTTAATTTTTTATTACAATGTTTAAATCTTAAAAAGGGTAACATGGTGATGTTCACAACAACATCGCTAAGATATGCCGCTCTGTAATTACTTTACAATTGCACAAAATACAAAAGATGGTACATGAAATTTTCTTTCACAGTTTATCCTGATCTATGTACAATAAGTCTTGTGGCTATTGATGACCAAAACAACCATCATTCCAAGGTTGATTTTTGGAATGATGTTTATGGGTTCAAAATGACGTGCATGAAATCGTGTGTACTGGAAGAAAGTAGCGTTGAGTATGTAAAAGGAGATACTGTTATATCAAATCCTTGCATGGTGAAGGTATTTATAATGCTTTTAGTACTATTGTATTCAATTTTTTACTTTCATCATCTCTCATTCATTGGTTAAGAAAATTGCTTACTCAACATATTTGCCACATAAACAATAGCCATCTTGTAGTTTGAACAGCACATTCCCATGTTAAAGTTCAAAATATTAAACAAACAATTGAGCCTATCACAGAGCATTTTGTAACATATTAAGCTAGATTGTTTTACACCTTGACATTCAATTATAGTAGAAAATATAAGATGCCTTTATAGCTATTCTTGAGCTTCCCATTTACATGTTATTTTTGCAAATAATTTTAGAATAATGACTAATGCCTTGTCAGTGTTCTCCCAATTGAAATATTTTTGCTGGTAAATTAGTCCATAAAAATTCAGCTATGCACAGCTTCAGTGTGAAGCATTATGCCTTTTGAGAGGGGTTTAATGACTAGAAAAACAACAACACATAATAGTCATAGCCAAGGTATAGACTGGAATGACGTTCATTTATTGAAAGAAGGCTAGCTTAGACAACCTAGGCCAAATAAGTGGTTTTATTATTTTACAATCTCAACATTTTTACTAGTTGGTCAGTTATTTTTACCTGTAAAATTGATGGCGAAAATGGCTTTTGGAGAACAGGGATGCGATTGCTCACACTGGATTAATTTTGACCATAATGAAGGTCAACTTGATCTGGACTAAACCATACTACTGTTTACAACTGAGACCTTGGTTAAAATACTGTAATGTGATGCTAATCATGAATAGATGTCATGAAAATGCATGCACAATAGTAGCATGCATTCAGGGAAAATTTAACCAAGGTTCAGTTCTTCAAATCAGGTTTATCTACTCTGGGAAAGATTTCTTTAGCTAAACTTGTTCATGGCTTGTGTAATTTAACCTTGAAAGAATGTTAATTTACTGTTTGGTTCAATTTTTTTGTTTGTCCAAAAACTGGCAAAATAAAGTTAATGGTAATAAAAATTTTTAACATGAAGTTTTTTTTTGTTTTTAAAGTGTGTTGATATTTGCAGTATTCATGTTAAAGATTTAGATTTCACTTCCAACTTTAAACTAGAAATTCAGCGGGATTCAAAGTGCACAGTGAGTCATGCTTTGTATAATTTATTACAGTTACTATTTACTTTAAATTTTGGTGCCCTTAAAGTGCTTAAATACTTAATTCTCAACATCCTTCATCTTTTTGCTATCTCATGTATATTTTGTACTGTAGGAAATGAAAGTATTATAAAAATGATGATTCAAGATATAAATAAAACGTTTATTGTCTGAAAAACTAGTTCCTCACTGGCAGCGTAACAGTATGCAAATAAATATAATATAAAATCAATAGTCATAACAAATAGATGACATAGAAATAGTATTATTATACTGTACAACGATATTTGCTTAAAAAGGTCTAAATTGTAAATCAATTAAACTTAGTAACTAATATTAATTTCTCTTATTTTGTATGGTATACATACTGTAGCCGAAAAGAATATTTACTAAAGTGAATGAGTTTCATTCATTATTTTTTTGTTATTAGCACATTTATGAAAAATACTATCAAGTAAATTAATGAGGTTTCCTTAAGAAATTAATATAACTGTAGTGCTAGTAGTGTAATACTGTAATTCTATTTACTTCTCTCTTATTTAAGTTATAGCATTTCTTTAAAAAAATAACAGAATACAACATTTATCCTTTTTTCAGGCAATTGTTGGTTATTTTGATGTCATTTTCGAAAAGCATTGCAGAAAAACTGTAAGTTTACCCAAATAATTTGTCCTTATTTATCCCAGTTTGTCTTAGTCTTAATTACTAATGTTTTACTTGGTAATTTACAGGTAATGTTTTCCTGCAGTCCAACCAATGAAAGAACTCACTGGAAGCAAACTGTGTTCACTCTTCCGAAGCCAATACCACTTAAAAAGGGCAAGTAAAAAATTAGGATATAAAATAAAATATTTCTTATAATGGTATAGAATCACTCCTTAAAAATAACAACTATTTATTGTGTAATATGTATTGGCTTTCTACTTTTAAACTTGTTTAAGCAACCAAACAGCAGTCCCCTTTTTGGGGAAAGTATTTTTAAGTAAGTATTAAAAATACAAATAAAATTATTACTCCATAATGAAATATTTTTCTTCCTTTGTATATTTTAGGAGACTTGTTAACTGGATCTATAGTATGTGCAAAGAATCCAAAGGATAAGAGGGCACTTGTTGTGACATTTACAATAGATGGAGAAGATCTGAAGTACATTGTCCAGTAATTGTTACCATGTGAATGAATTACAATGAAACAAAAATGTCTTGCATTAGAACAGAAAGTATAATTCTTGATTTTTTTCCCCTAAAAAAGATGTGTAATTAAAAATTCCAGAGAATAAAATATTTTATACAAATAAAATATTAGACATTTCTAAAATCTTCCATAACTTTTAGTGTCTCCACTTATCTTGTATTTAAAATTATTAAGTAAAATAAAATCAATGTGTTCTACCGTATAATCTCACATGTTAGATGACCTGCAATTTTTTGGACGATCTTTGTTTGTTGGGCGTACAAGAGGACCCCTGTTTTACTGTCAGAAATACTACCTTTTATGGTCTTGATTTACACCTAGCTGGCTAAAAACAAAGCCAAACATAGGGCTTGCCTTCCAAGTAATACCATTTTATGGGCTTTTAAATGTTCAACAAAATCTTATTTTCCCACATTTAAAATTAGCTTCATTTCAGTAGTAAATTTACATGTCACAGACAATCTGCACATAAGACAAACACGATAAAAAATTTGATGTGTTGTGCATATAAGATGACCCCCTGTTTTTCTATTGTAATTTGCTATTTTAAGCATTGTTTATGCGTGAGAATATACGGCACCAGTACTGTAATTAAAACAGGACTAGGAAATTTGGGCTGGGGACCCGTGTCACTGCAATGCTACCCCTGGTAGTGAATTGGGCAGTACACTGAAAGATGATCCACTGCTCTCAACAGGATAGATGTCTGTTAAAGACATTGCTATGCTGTACCACTGATTTGAACAAAAAGCAGCTTGACACCATAGAACCAGAATAGGTCTCCATGTTTAAGTTCATACACAATGGTTACCACCAGTTTTAAGCAACTACACTATACTCCATTATAATTTAGTTGGAATATAATGATGGATTTAATTTGTTTACTGGAACACATGGTTTGACAACAATTTCGAAAAAAAATTTTCAAAAAAGTGAAAGAAACTCTTGCATTCTGCTTCCTCTGTTACTGGTACCATTTGGAGCATAAGTCTGCAGTCACCATTTTCTAATACCTTCCTCAGATGCAATTGTACACCCATTGAACCAGAAGTAAACTTAACATCACCCATGAGGTCTTGTTCTTTAATGACCTTAGATGTCACAGCACTTTCTAGTGCCAAGATATTTGATTTAAATTCTGGTAACTTCATTAAAATTCGTCTAAGTTTTCTTCGACCAATCCAGACCGGAAATTTGACTTTGCATGAACAAGTCAAGAGATGTTCACCTGGAAGTGAGATTGCAGAAGATGTTGTTGACTGCACGTCCATGTCTGCTGCATGGTTATCATTTCCATCTGGAGAAATACTGGAAACCTCAGAAGAACATCCTGGATCAGATGTAAAACTTGTTTCTGAATCCCGCCAACCCTTTTCACAATCAACTTCATTATCTATTTCTTTGTCAATTTTTATTTTTTTGGTTGGCAGAGGAGAATCATCTTCTAGATCTCTTTTCAGTGCAGCTCTTGACCTATTGATATCCATCTCTTCCATTGAGTGATGCTTGTCCTTAGAATCTGAACTTTCAAGGGTGGTGTTTTCCTTCTGAAGGGGAGACACAACATGGCAATCAAATTTCAAGACATCGTGTAAAACCATTTTAAAAAATGCAACCATCTGGTGAGACCAATCATTATGGGCGCCATCACTGTTGCCTTCCCATTTTTTTCTAAACCCTTCAGAGAATGAGCAATCGTGGAATGCTACCTCCAAACAACCAACAACATCAGTCCTCAGCGGTCCACCTGCTCCTTCCTTTAGCAGCAACATTAATCCCCATGACCTTTTTTCACTATCATGTTTTGAAAACTTTTTCGATTGGCAAACCACCTGGGCAACTTTGATCTCACCTGATAACCTCTTGGTGGTTTTTTCATTAACATTGCCTGCTACATTGTGACTCAGTTCCAGAGGATCTTGCACATTCAAAGAACCAAATTTGAACTCATTTGTTAGTCCACTTGCTTCCTTCTGAAATATATGTACAGGCACTATCTGCCCTTTCCTTGGGCAAATCACATTGCTTGAAAAGTCAACCATTGCATAGAACTTGTAAAATCCAATCAATAGGTTTTCTGCAAAAAAAAAAAAAAAATGAGAATAATCAATATAAAAAATAATCTCAGTTTAACCATGGTTTAACTAACAATGGATATGTGATAAAGTAATTATAACTTACCAATAGATTGTTTTTTTGGAACAGATTTAAGCACATCAACATCAAGACTGAAGGAACAATTCCAACCATCAATAATCTGTTCACCATTCTCTGTCAAGATAATTACAGGTATTCGTAACCACCTGATATAATAAAATTACTAAAAAGTTGAATTAAACTGAATGTGTTGTGGAGAGGATGGGATGTCAGACCTTAACATGATCTACTAGTTCTCATTTTATGTCATCGATGTAGCAGCAGCAGCAACAAAAAAACATTAAAAATAATAAATACTTTGCAAAAATATTGACATTATCACTACAATTACATCTCATAGTCCTCTTCCCCCCCCCTCCTCCTCCCTGTACAGTATAAAATCCACCCCTTTGTTTTTTATATACACCCCTGACACAATACAGTACTTACCATTAGCAGCCTCTAATTCATCCACTGATGGTAGCACTTTGACCTCTTCCATCTGTAGATATGTTATTATTAATAGAGTGAGTGCGTAATTTGTAAGCTTCGGTCCTGCTCCAACATTGCCTGCAATCTGCTTCACTTTAGCCCACTGTCGAATGGTAAACACTAGAGGGCGCACAACTGGATGTAGTTTACCATAAAATGAAACCAGTTCTGTGTTTCGCAAAGCAAGTCTGTGGACATTATATAATGCACACATCTATTTAAAAATGCTCAAGGTCCGGCGTGTGTGTGGGTGTATATGTCCTTTATATTTTATATGCTGTCCTATGAGACTACCCATGCATAGCCATCAATGTGTTAATATATATAATGTTTACTGTAAACGATGACATAAATTAATGTTGAAATATTGAATCCCAACATGATGGAGTGCATTTCAATACTTGGAGTATGTATTATACTTCCTTTTTTTTTTAAATGTTTATTTGTTCAAAAACAATTGCAATCCAAATTCTAATAGGTTTACAATACTGTATATGAATGGACTAAACAAAATGAAATATAGATAGTTGACAAGAATAACTATAGAGTACCTGTTGTTTATGGAAATATCACACATTAGACCAGATTGAGAATGGCAAAATTTGACAACAGGCTTGCGGGCCAATGGAATTCCTCGTACGTTTTTCATTCCTGGTACAAGCTGACGAATTATTTTACAAATCATTTCCATGGTGGCGCTGTCACCATCTTCAGTGAGATCAAGCATTTGACCTTCGTTAAATTCTTTCAAGTTTGTTTTGTCTATTTTTTCAAGAGTCTAGAATGAAAAAAAAATTGAGAAATTTAATTCACAGACTTGAATCAATTAGAAAATCAATAATATCATGTAATGCTAAAATTGCCCCTGTAACAAACGAAGGGAAATAAAATGGTTTGATGCTGTTCAGATTATTTGGCTTACCTCATCTTCAGCCAGTGGAGTCGAGAACTGATACATCAGACTTCTACTGTCAATAGTCAGATTAAGGTCAAGATCACAACCTTTGACCCCATAACTATTTACCGATGAGCCATATGGAGCGATAGAGACATGCGGCATAAATTCTTGGAATACACTTTGGAGCAGGCGGCATATCAAGTAGCGAAGACTGACATCTTCTGGAGACAATTGTAATCTTGCCAAAAGACCATGCATCTGCTCTGCAACCTAAAAGATCAACCATTTAAAAATTGCTTCTGAATCGTACAAGTTTAAATCAAGTTGCAAATGGTGCAGTATGAATAAATAAATAATAAATAATTGAAATAATTAAAATAATAATTAAATAATGAATAATAATTAAATAATTAATTATTTAATTATTTTAATTAAATAATTAAAATAATTAATAATTAAAATAATTTAATAATTAAAATAATTTAATAATGAATAGACCTTTCCAGAGTGTCAACAAACTGAGCCACTAACCAATTAGAACAGGTGTGCGTATGTTTTTACAGTCATTTTGCGAGACCTTAGCAACGATATCCAAGGGGCGGGGCTTAGCAGAGAGGTCCATTATCAGTAATATTTTCTTAATCATGTTGATGAATTGTCAAATTAATTTCAAATTAAATAAAACTAATTTTTTTTTTACATTTGTGCCATCACAATCAATAATAAGATGAACATTTCTGGAAGTTTAAATTTTCACAAGGCAAAAAGGTAGACTTGCCACAAGTCTCTAATTTATGAATATTGATTGATGCCACCAGCATATGTTTATGTTGAGAAACTTGTTATGTTGAATTTGGATGGAATTAGACTAAACCCAGAAAAAGTATAGTATGGAACGCCATTGGTGCCAAAATCAATTTATTTTTAAGCATTTTCACTGAATAAGACAAAATTCAGGGACTGGAATCCAGTATAGGCAAAAAGGATGAATACAGGCTAACATACAGCATATGAAGACACAAACAGAATGCTTACACTGTCCACTGCTGCAATCGACTCAATGACCGCGTCATCTGCATTGCCTCTTGGTGTAGATTTAGCTGAGGGGTGTTTATGTGGTGGTTTTGGTTTTGAATATGGCTTCCATTCTCGTTGTTTGACATTAACTTTTCTGCCACCGATGGTGTGTTTCTTGGAGGCTAGAGCCTGTTGAACCAGTTCTTTCGATTCAAACTCAACTATTGCATATTGATGCTGGTGATAGAAGAAGGTGGAAGTCATTCATTTAATAACTTAATCTTACATTTCTGAGTCAAGTTGTCAATAGCAAGCAAACAAAAACATAGACATTGCAAAAAAATACACCTTCTGGTATTACACTTACAGAATTGTTATATTGTTGAGACACTCTGTATGCTTATCAAATATATTGTTGTTACGAGACACTACAGTACCTCAATATACAATAGAACCCTTATTAAGAGGACGCCTTCTGGACCCCCTCAATAGGGATACCCCTATTCAGGGAACACAAATATAGAGTAACGACTAAAAAAAAAAAGGCTGCATGTTTGATATGGATAAGAATCCTATATTCACAAAAAAATCCCAATGGTTATGGGTAAAATTTGACAAGATTTGTTGGATAGGCCTACAGTATACTGATGTTCACACTAAGGATTCAGGTGAAACATTCTGGTTTGTGAAGTTTTTTTTTCTCAAAAGATGTCAAAATATAAAGTTAAAAGATATGTATTTTTTTTAGACTGCATAGTTTTTGTGATAATGTGAAGCGTTTAGAGGCTTTATGCATGAAGCGCTATATAAGACCAACATCATATTATTATTATTATTTTACAATGAAAAAAATGTAATCCTTACTAGGGGTTGAATATGAATCGATTTGAACATTTGGCACACCGAGATACTGTGTTCCATCCCATTATTAGAGGTGTCCCCTTAATAGGGGTTGGTTGAGTGTTAAAAAATGTAATTCTCCTCATTTCACGGAAAAGTGTCCACAGAATAGGAGTGTCTCGAACTAGGGTTCTACTGTATCACACTGGTTGTATATTTTAATTCTTGGACGACATTTCTATGATAACTGAAGGTCTTAGGTCATGGGAAGCTATGGCAAAAATTCTGGGTCCTAAGGAGTAAAAGGTTGCCAATCGTAGCCCTGGTATACTATGATTCAGGAACTCCACTTGCACATACCTCTCACATACAGAACTTTCATTCCTCTCTTAATGCTTGGTTAATTTTTTAGATTTTTTTTTGTAAATTCAGCCTTGGCTGTGATTTGAATGTTAAAAAGAAACTGAAACTGATGATCTTAGAATAGTAATCCAATGTGAAATAGTCTTTGATTTGGGTAAAAATTTCCCAACCACAATTCTATTTCAATATTGTATTCACCTTTTCTTTGTCCATGATCACCTTTTCGACTGAACCGACTTTCATGAAGTAATCTGTGATTTCGATCTCCGACATGCTTTTCACTAGGTTACCAACAAATATACTTTTTTCCGCTTGATTCTGCCTCATTTTTGTCACCTCTTCCACTTTCTGGTGTTTCTTGCCTTTCAAATGTTCTTCCATTGCTTTATCTTCATGTCAAATTTGGAAAATAGTGAAAGGTAAACAGTAAGCTTATCAGTCATATAAAAGAATATTGGAATATATTTTGGCTACAACGTAAACTTTAAATGTTGGAGGGTAATTTTACAAGCCTTTGATAGCCCCATCCAAAACAGAGTAAACCTTAAATTGGAAATGGATATTGTTCCAACATCATGTCATAAATCATTGGAACAATATCCACAGCTAATAAAATTATCTAGGCCTAAGCCTACAATCATATTATTTTAAATTTGAGGGGGAAAAACATTTCTTTTTAGTTTTGTTTGTCCCTTGTTAATTTAAACACCATTAATGACAGGTGACACTAACAGGAGGCCACAATGCCAATTAATGCACTTTTAAACTTTCATATATTTACACCCAGGGGTCTCGCCAGCTATACTTAAGCAGGTGGCGGGTCCACCACGCTTTGGGCGAAAAAAAAAAAATGACTGCCACGCTTAGGCAAAATAAGCAAAGATTGCACCATGCTTAAATGTTGGCACCACTCTAAAAAATATGGACCAAGTACATATTATTCAAACGTTAGGCTTACAATAAATACCGAAGTGTCAAACTGCAGCCAGTCCCACAATGTTCTCATGAGGAACAGTGCTTGTTCAACCGCATATACGTATATAAGTAGTACCGTACTAAAAATGTGTCCACTCTTTTTAAATGTTCGCGCACCACCCGTTCAATTTTGTGGACAAAATTTTCTGAAATTCCGCCATGATCTTTAAATAAATCCTGTCGGAGAGGGATGACACCATTCGTGCTTTTATATATAAAGTAAAACTTACTTAAACATGAGTCGCACAGGGTAGTTAGCTATGAGATATTGCTGAACCTAGGCTAGTCTAACGCAGCCTGTCCTAAGCCAGGCCCTAATCTAGAGGAAGGCCTGGCACATACTATATATACTATATAGATAGGACCTGGTCTATGTCTACGCCTAACATAGGCCTAGAGAATGCTTGGCCTACTCATCGCGAGTAGAGAAACCTAGCTTAGGACTAGTCTTGTGATTGAAGTGTTAATTGTACATTTTACAGTTACACATAATGCTACCTGAAATTAATTTCAAGTTGCAGACATCACAAAAGTATCGACTGCTCGACGCCATGGCTGCAAATTAACTTCCAACTTCGTTACGAATGCGAACGTTGTTGTAACGCATGTGTAGCGGGTTAGTTGCAGCTATTTACACTAAAACGGATATATTATTCTGAATTTTCGTGTCTGTGATCTACTCAAATTATCGATCTACTCGCTTATTTGTTTATATTTGCTTCCAAACTATCTAAAAAGTGTATCGAAACAACAAATAATACCATGAATGAATCGTATGCAAAATAATTCAATATACTCTACAGTATTTGTAGGGGTAAATAGAAGAATTATTATTCTATGTCGATCCGGGATTTCCCCTTTGTGGAGGCTAGTGGCGCCCTTTTATTACAAACGCGCATGCAGCAGCAGTTGTGTTTTTGTGTGTTATTGATCGAGGATAGGTCAGACGAATGACGTCCGGTTCGGCCGTAATATATTTGTATGGAACGCCAAATAGGCACAGATCTGTGCGTATGTTATGTGTGTGTGGTTAACAATAATCTCCCTATTTTAATCTATTGCTACTGTATCCATGATTTCTTTTGGGAAAACAGTGGATTTTATTACGTTTGTGTTAGTTAATAATGTTTTTTTGGAAGTTAGTAATACTAATACTTATGATTTAACATTATGTTTGTTATTATGCTGATAATCAAACCAATGGATTTTATGATTTTTATATAGCATCTATCGATGTTTATGTTAATATTATTGATACGATTTACATAGTTGCATTTTAATATGTTGATTAATATACTGCTAAACCAATAATCAACCATCTTCCAGGCAGACATGACCACGAAGACCAGAGGAACCTGCTTGGTGGTGGTGCCTGACCTGACGAAGCTATGAATGGAGAACAGTAAAAGGGATTCTTTACCAACTTGAACATACCTGAATAAAAAAAAAAAAATATGTAGAATAAAAAATATATAATTCAGTTTATATGATAAATATGATAAATTTGATTTATCATTAATAACTACTATTTTCATATGGCCCACTTATATAATCGTGTTAGTGTATAAGATATTTTAAATACGGTAACCAATCACTTTTTTCTGGAATGAAACGTACAGATAAGAAACACATTTTTATTAGTAATCGTTATTTTTATTATTAGGTTCCCGTGTACCACCAGTAGAAGTAAAAACGAACAACACATTTTTATTAGTAATCGTTATTTTTATTATAAGGTTCCCCTGCACCACCACCTAACCCGCGGTCAACATTGCACTGTACAGTACACACGGCGTTCCATACAATAACCCTTATTTGGGCAATGAATATCATACGGCTAAAACACGTTCGGCTACGACTACCGAACATGTTTTGAAGTATTCTTCGTTTAAAAACAAAATAAAATGTGTACCAAACACCATATCATATTATTTAGCGTTATAATTTTGTTTATTGTCACTAGCTTTCAAATTGGCAGTACTAGTAGTAAGTTTATTTTTGTAATGTTTATTGATTAATGTAGGCCTAGGCTACATTCTAGGCCTAGTTTGGCTAACCTAGGGCCTAGCTATGGAATGGCTGGGGCATGCACCAGCAGTACCAGTGCATTGAGGCCGAAGCCTCGCAGCCTAACTCAGGGATTTGTGGTCTACTGTAGCCTAGGCTAGGTCCTGGCACCTGGGCCTTCTTTCATCATGGCAGCCCCCTTTTTTTAGGGCTAAAAGAAGGCGTTCCGCCAAACAATAATTTAACTATAGTATATACTTATTAAACTGTATGCTTAGGCCTAGCCGAGGGCCTGGTTCTAAACTCGTGGTGGGAGACTTGTGACCAATCAAAGCTGCCTTTACAGTTAATTGTCAGGGGCGGATTTAGGGGGGTGGGTTCCCCCCATTTTGGAAAATAGAAAAAAGAGAAACTAAAAGGAAAGAAAAAGAAAATATTGATCCCCCAAATCGCGTAAGAGATTATTTTTCCTGATGATGACATAATTACTGTCGAAATATTGAATCCCAACACGATGGTGTGCATTTCAATACTTTGAGTATTATACTTTCTTATCTGAGATTAATCAGTGGACCTTTCGGTTTTTAGGTTATTTTTGGGCGTCTAGAAAACAATAATTTTGCGGGAAAATTCCCCCAGACCCCTAGGGTAGTGTTGTCTCGATCGACCACCCCCACTTCAGACATCTGTAGATCCACCCCTACTTGTCCTTGATTATTAAAATGCCATTGGATTTCTTATGCCATTTCTTATACATTCCCAAAATGTACATCACATTGAATTTTCTGTGAATGTAATGAATAATCATTGATAAAAAAAACTGGCTTTAAAAATAATAATGATAATTATATAAGCATGAGCAAGAGCCATTATTTGGTGCACACTACGTCATTTCAAATCTGGGCCGTTAATGTCCCTGAGTCGATTTGGGTCCAGGTATTTTTGGGCATAAAAAACACCAGTCAGAACATAAAACAGACCAAACCTCACATAATCATCATTCTCTACCACTTCACCTTTTATGCCCTCCCATCACCCCCTCAATCCCCCTAGATTCTAATAGATACACCACTGTATGAGGCTGAGTCAATACTGATACAGTATTACATTATTAGTTCATCTCTGATTTTATCATGTTTGTTATTTTACAGGTAAATCAGTTGACATAGGAGTACCCTTTAAAGTTGAAGTGCACAATCCTGATAGTGGTTGTAAAATATACTGTGTCCACCCTTTTGAAACTGTGGGACCTGCCAACATATGGAAGACAATTAAGGTAAAGTTTATTTTCATAAATTATCAAACATATTTTTATATTTACAGTGGCAAATCGAGGGGTAGCGAAAAGGGTACTTGCACATTTAAATACAAAGTTAAAGTATTGCTTAAACTCTGACGCTTCGAAGGGCTTTAGGTTACCGTAAGGCAAGACTTTTTTATACTTTGTTTTGCAAGATGAACTGTTTTTTGGAGATTGCAGGGTAGCGGAGGGCATAATACATCAGCAGAGGGTGTGTTACCTGGCCAAAAATAAGATTTTATTTTTATACAAAATCACCATTATTAGCGGTTGGCAGGTCCACTAAACAAGGTATAAAAAAGTCTCACCTGAGCAGTTACATGTTTGTAACCAACCTAACCCCTAAGTGGTAATGATTTGAAAATAAATGAAAGTGTAATACATTTTGACTACAAAAATCTTGTGTAAAAACTTGGAAAGACTTGACAATACATATTTAAAATATATTATTTAGTTCATGCAATAAACCACAAAATAATTAAAATTATAGTAACATAACATTACAATAGCAAGTGTTGAGACTTAAATTATTGAGCGTTCAATTCTTAGGTTAAAAATTTCCCACACAAATAAAATAGAAAAACAAAAACACACAATTTAAATAAATATGGTGGTGCTATATAGAATTATTTAAATTTAACAAAATATTTTTTTATATTAATGAAATTAATTAATATTGACAATGTATTCATTGTGGATAGCAAGAAAAACAACATGAATTTATTAAATATGGTGATGCTGTAGAATTATTAAAATTTAATAAAATATTTTTTTACAGTAATGAAATTAATTAATATTGCTCATGTATTCATTGTGGATAGCGAGAAAAACAACTTGTAAAAGAATGAAAATAGTAGGTACCAGTAGGTTATAAGAAAAAGGAAATATATATTGACAAACTTATTGGATTAGATTTATATGGTGTAAACACCAAGGATAGCCCACAAAAGTCTAGAAGAAGACTTATTTCCAGTGGGGTCCTTCTGGTGGTGATTGGACAGTACATAAGGAGACAATCCCCTACTCTTTTCCGAAGAGTGTACTGTGTTCTTTAACATGCACATGGGCCTTAAATGCACACAGGTCCAACGGCTTAAACGTCTCATCTGAAAGACGGTGCGCTATTGTAACTTGTATTTCAGCCCTCTAGCTGAAACACAAGGAGCAGCAGCTATGGGAATAGAAACTGGGACCTAGAGATCTCCATGGTTCAACGCACACGCAGTGACTACCACCAGATTAGCAGACTGAGCTAAGCTGCTCTCTCAGTCTTGTTTGTTTTTGAAAAATATTTTAGCTCCGAGTTTCTTTCCTATTTTTCCTTCTCCCTTTATTCTTTTATTTTTTCATTATTTTTGTTCATAATTAACAGATTACTTTACACCATAATGTACCTTCATTAAGCTTATTTTTAAATTACGCTTTTTTTAACATTTTAAGGCCTGTTATGTATACATCATTTCTATATTTTACATTTTTTCTATCTATCAATTTAAAGTTGAAGGTATGTCCTGGTTCCCCCCCCCCCGACCCTTTTATGTTCACACTTTGGATGGGTATATCTTCATAAGACTTCTATGAATGGATACCTTGTTCGAAGCAAGAAATAAAGTTGTCTTTACCCAGTACCGCGCATCTATTTTATATTCATGTGGGAAATTTTTAACCTTAGTAGAAATAAATATGATCTGTCGAATCTTATAATCTGTAGAATACTGTATATAAAAGTTTTAAAAGATAAAGAGTTATGGTGGTACATATCATTACTATTTTATAATTTATAAGCTTTTTAATCTTTACAGAACTAATTTCAAATATCAATTTACATTGTAGTTGTAGTAGTATTATTAATAAAGCATTCCTGTCTGAAGCAAATTGTTTATTTCACAGGTACAGGCTACCTGTAGTGCCAGCCATGGGATGTGTTCCAATCCCGGTGTCATTGTTGGGGAAAGTGAAGATGCGTTGGAAGGGAGCTGTACCAAGGGTTGGCTACCAAGTTATGCTCCCTGGGAGAGTAACTATGCAAGCCTGTCCCCTTTCAGAAACTCCTGCTTTGCCGTTGTACATGACGCAGGATTCAAACTTGATGTTAATGCTCACAGTGAGTTATATTTTTTAGCATTTTCCTTATGTATAGTATCTGTCTCTTATACACATCTAGATGTGTATAAGAGACAGATACTCTACAGTATTTGTATAAAATATTTTAATTGGATTTAATTATTAAAAAGGTAGATATAAATTATTGTATTCTTGATTTACTTATTCTTCTGTGTTTTGTTATTAGGTGCATATCTGAATTACATGGCTCTTTTCATATTTGGCATTATTTTGTTTTTTACTGCCCCAACATTGAGCCAGTAAGTATAGAATTTCACATAATTTAGAGAAAAATATACAGATTAGTGAAACCCCTCTAACACCAGGACCCTCTAATATGAGACCACTTTTTCAAAGAACTAAAATAACAATCTTCTACACCTCCCAACTCTAACACTTAATGCGATTCTGAAGAATGAGCATACTTTTTACGTCTCACACCTGCATTGTATTATCTCACGCATCATAAACATTTTATAAAAGATAAAATGTATAGACAGATTATAGCCTAAAATTCATAAAATTGAATTTAAATGAATTTGTCATTAAAATGTGAATGTTGAAATTTGTCATTTAATGTTAAGCTACTGACCAACGACTGTAATCAGTAGCTGTTCCACCACTACCACCATTTTGTGAATTTTACATAGAGGGTGCTTTATACAAATTTTATTTAATTTTTGTCTCGCGCATCAGACGCCAACGAATTTGGCAGGTATAATCTTTACAAAGTTAAGCCAGACCTTCTAATTGGAGATGGAACCCTGAGACAACCCCAAATGTTCAGGTCCCAAATGGGGTCTCGATATAGAGGGTGAACTGCTCTTTGAATAGATATTCTTTAGAAAATAGATTATCCAGAATATCATTTGACTTTTAATTTGTAGACTCCAAGACCATAGATTGAGGATGATGACTGTTTTAAATTGAGTTTAAATCATTGTATCTTTCTCTACAGAAATGTGCTTTTTTACTATTCATCAGGCATCGGTATAGGTATCATTGCATCACTCCTTGTACTTGTTTACATCTTAAGCAGAATGGTACCAAAGGTAATTAAATATTTTCTTAAGTTGGCCATTTATACTATGGTGGCCCCAGAAATTCCACAAGGGTAGAAGCTCCCTGACAAGAAGTCACAATTGACCTCAGCCCCACCCTGTTCGGATCAAATTTTAAGAAAAGGCACCTCTGACTGCCTGGAAATGGCTTTTCTTAAGGCAGTATTCCCAACAATATAATTGGTTTCTTCCCCAACAGGGTCCAGGGATTCCCAATACAAAGGTCCAGGGTTCTCCGACCAAAGGGGGTGGGGTCCTGAATGTTCACTGGTGCTGCCACTGTTTATAATGAAAGATTGTGGATTTCGTATGTTTGTATAATAATGATTGAAGCATATGCTTCAAGATAATTTTGTGCATATTTTTCTATTAACATCAGCACAAACCAAATTGACACATTCGAGTAAAAAAGTAATCATTTAACATAGAAAGTAGCAAATTGAAGTAAAATAACATTAAACTACAAACATAATAATAATTTAATTCAATCACAAAAAAAAAATTATGTAGAGCACTATATATTTGAGTGATATTGTGTCATGACAAATGTGTACATGATCTAATATTTTTTTTTTTCTCATCGATAGAGAAGTAGTGCGTTCGCCGTGGTAGTAGTTGGTTGGTCAGGAGCTCTATACATTCTACACTGGGTGTTTGAAAACATTACAAATGGAGACTACCAAAATTATGTGTTTGGTTATATTGCGATGTCCGCTTTAATAAGCTTTGTTGTGTGCTACTACTACGGGCCCAACTATCACGAGCGAGCCCAGAATCTGGTTCAGTGGGCAATCCAGCTGTGTGCGTTGCTGTGTATACATCAAAGTACCCATGATGAGCATGCCGCCGTAGCCATGATCGTTGGTCTGCTTTTTGTAAAAAATTTCCCTTACAAAATATTTCATTTCTCATTATCAAAGTTTCGATGGTAATATATTTTGCCTTTTTTTCCAGATATTAATACTGTATGGCATTTGTTTAGTGCTCGAAGCCAGTGTTATAATTCCAAAAACTGATATCGATATTTGTACTATATTAGTAATCAACTTTGGGCATTATTTAATAAATATACAATCTTACAAATTAACTATTTCATAAAATAAGAGATGAGGTCTTAAAAGATTATTCCAGTTTAATTCTTGTCTCAATATCTACAAAATTAATCAAAATTACAATCAGTATTAATTTTTACCGACTTAAACGGTATGAGATTTGTCTTTTTATTTTAACAGTGATTTTTAATGTTTATAAATATTTACCATGGTGTCCATATTTTTTATATTTTATATTGTATCATAGTTTATGTGAAGAGATTCTCACTTTTGTGTTGGACCCTCAATAATAAAGAAATTAAATAATATTTTTTATGAATGTTGTTTAACAGGAAATGGAAATCCCACAAGAAACGCAGATTCCTGACGGAAGAAGAATATGAGGAGCAGGCGCGCAAGGAAACTTTGTCAGCTTTAGAAGAACTGAGAAATCAATGCTTAAGTCCCCAGGTAGAAACTTGGAAAATGGTGTCCCGCTTAGAATCTCCTAAAAGGTAGGTTAAAGATGTCCCCTGAAAATAACAAAAACAAATCATAAAAAAATAATTTTGAAATTAACTTTATTTTTCAGTAACATTCAAATTATTAAATTTAAAATACAGTATGCTGTAGCCAGCTATTGGGACAGGTCCACATTTTAAAAATGGGTCTAAAATATGCTGTTTTATGCATGCACAAAATGATTCCACTTTTCGAAAAATGGGTCCAGATTTCTCATATTTTGCCTAAATTTGGTAAACTGTCCAGATTATTCATATTATTAAGAAAATGGGTCCACCCTGATATTGTCCCACACTGTTTGAAAATCCTGGCTACAGCATTGTATGGGTACCCTGATTTTTATACTGTATGAGAAAAATATTTGTGACTGGAAGTGCTTCTATCATTTTCCCTGTAAAATTTAGGTAAACATGTTTTAAATACAGTACACTAATTTCTATGTTCAAAATGAGCAACTTAATTCCAAAATGATGTTTACATTTTTTTAGTATTTTGCATGGGCCAATACTGTACATATTTAAGTCAAAAAACACTGAAAATGATACTTATTGATATCTTTGCATAGAGCAGGAATTTGCAGTTAATTTTTCAAATCACACACCATTCAAGCTATTCTAGATGCACTTTGATATTTATCCTTCCTTTTAAGGTTTGCCCAGTTCGTGTTGGGTGACAGTCATTTGTCTGGAGATGAGCTCGATGCTTACGACTCGGACATTTCAATGTTGGAGGATGACGAAGACAACACATCAGATATTATGACAGATGATCTAAGTCTTCTGATTGACGAAGCTGAGGCCTTGATATGAAAGAATTTGGACACAAACTGAGAGCTAGATCCCAGAGTGGCATCCCATACGATGATGTATTTTGAATTCTGGGTACCTTATGAGATAACCATGGTAAAGAGGATTACGATGAGTATGTTTGAATTCTGGGTATGGATGTTGAGGTTTATAGTCAATGTTCTTAAACTCAGTTACAGTGAACAATCAAACATTGTTGTGAGACAAATTTGTACTGTTAACAAATGTTAGATTTTTTGTGTTTAAAATCCATTGTTAATAAAGCTGTGTAGAAATAAAGGTATTTTAAAGTTAGTTTGTAGTTTAGTTCATTTTTATACAAATATTCAAATTTGCTTATTGATGTCTGTCTCTTATACACATCTAGATGTGTATAAGAGACAGATATTTGAGTGATATTGTGTCATGACAAATGTGTACATGATCTAATATTTTTTTTTTTCTCATCGATAGAGAAGTGCCTATATTTTTACTTTTTCTTTTTCTGTTATTTTCTGGGCAGTTTTCACACCAGAAAATAATGTTACTACTGCTATTGTTGATAAGATGTTCAGAAAGTGAAAATAAAATTTAAAGAATGCTGCTGTCATGTTTCTGTTGAATTGTTGATTCAAAGTGTTGTATGTTTGTAAAATATTTTGTACCACTTGTATAAAGTTTTTTAAAAATATATCTGTTATGAATAAACAAGTTACAAGTATTTATTAAATACCACTTTCTAGTGTTTTATTAATTGAATGCTGTTAGTATAATATAAGTACCTATACTCTGATCACAAAACACTTATTTACTACCATTTTACAGGTACAGTATTATTAGTAAAATGCAAAAGCCATCATTCATGGTGTTGAAGGGTTTTATTCAATAAAAAAAATCATGCAAGTTTTTAAAAGTACAGTACTGTAAAGTGATCTGGAAACTAATACTTTGCAAATCTTTGTACAAAAATACAATCTAATCCTAATCAAGTTAATTCCATGTAAACGTTATCAATACACTCCAAATATTTGCTGATATGGGGTGGAGCCAGCTGATTTTGGGGTTTATGATGGGAAATTTCGTTCTTTTATACCACATATGCTGTACTAGAACAAGGGGTCATGACCTAGTTACCACAAGTCCTTAAAAAAACTTTTTTTAAAATACAGTACAGTAGCTTGTTCTAGATGAGGCCAAGTGTTGCAAGCTTACTTGACTTCTGAACATACAAGAACGAAAAAATATACAGTATAAAGTTACAGTAGTATTTTCATACCATAGCCACACGCACATAATCTACAGTTCTGCATAGATTAATACATCTACTTGACCATTATGCATAATACATTTTGGGGTTTTTTTTCTTTATACAGTAAATTTACTGTATTATAATATCTGCATGAGCATACGTCCTTCAAACAGTCCAACCCATGTGCTGTGATATTTCAGACATCAACTCAAAAGCTGTATCAACCTGCTTCCTAAAATGAGACAAATACATAAATAGGTCAAATAAGGATACTAAAAAGCAGATTATAATAAATAAATTATATTATAAGGCAATTACAGAAACTTTGGTTTAAAAAAACAGGCGAGTATCTCTCTGCATAGGAACCAAATTCACTAGGGGTTTTGGAAGAACGCGGGAGGGGAAAGAAACCACTGTGATACCGTCTGCAAGCGAACTGATAAGTTTAGAAATATTTTTGCAGAATAAATCAATAGATGAACTTACTTATCAGATGACTCATCGTCGTCGGCCTGTTTCAGAGGATCAATCTGTTGTTGAACCAATGCCATACACTCCTTCAAACCACTTATTCTCTTACCAGCTGAAAGTAAACAATCAAGTTTGTAATACAAGTACCTAATCTTCTTTAATAAAGAGTTAAATAACATTTTCTATCAGAGTTGTCACACAAACCGATTTTGTTTCGTACCATTACTACACATGATTAAACTATACAGTAAATTTAAAACTGTTAATTTGATATTCAATTTGAATAAATTAGGCATTTGATATACATTAAAGTAATCTTGACTTGAACATTTTCTTAATGTAATCATATTTGCTATTAAAACTCATTACAATATAAATTTATATTTTTTACATCCTAAACAAAGATTGATAGTTTATATCATGATGTTAATAGACTAAGGGATTTCAAACTCTTTATACCCAGTCCCCTTAAACCCCAACATTTCGCATAGTACTGGCAGCTAAGAAAACAAACTGAATCCTAACATACAATAGTATAAGCAGCCACATTAGTCAAATTACAAGATAAGGTGGAAGGAACATAACACACTTTAACTGAAACGCTTAATATACACAATCTAGTACCTCACCTTTTGAAATTGTGTATAATACATGAATTATTGCCAGGAAACCCTCAATACCTTGTACAGCTCCAACATCAATACACTGTTCTAGTTCACTGAGAAAGCATCTATGTAGAAGAAAATACATAAATAAATTAATCCTAGCAATGATAGAATGATAGAAAGCAAACTTTCATAACTAATGTCTAGGTCACACCAGGGAAAACAAGGAAATTTCAGAAAAAAAAAAAAGGTTTTTCTTTGTTTTTATTACACCTAGCATTGCCTTGAAATCTCCAAAACAAGATATGTATAATATTTCTTCCTAATTCTATAAATTTAAAGCATTTAACTATCCCATTACTACACTGTTTACATTCACCATTAAAATATTATTTGTATTTTTTTGTGCCCTCTGACGATCTTTAAAAAATTAAGTTTGCGAAACACGGTATAAAAAGATCTTGCCCTACCCACAAGCTTATGACATAGATTAAAATTCTGTATCAAAATTAAGATGATGCCCTATACAATATTGGGTAAAAGCCTCTACCTTGCCATCTTGAGCTTAGGCCACATAGAAAAAATTGTTAGATTATCACTCCTGCCTGCGCCAAATATTTAGGAGATATTGATGCAGGAATAAAAAAAAAATTTTTTGCTGCATCAAATTCCAACAGCTTAAAAAAAATGAAATGTTTGGTATTAACTACTGTATGTCATATGAGAATTTTTGTAAAGTAATAATGATACAGTTACCTAAGAATAGCAGGTTTACTGTTCACTAGTGGTAGAAGGAAGGCTGACAGGGTTGGTAGCTCACCAAAACTCTGACTTGGTGTAAGATTCTCATCACCCTAAAATTAAAACAGAAACATGTCAACTTAATTTATCATGAAAGTCTGTTGCTATATTGTTAATAAATAAACAAATAAATAATAAAGATGTTGGTATGTTTTCTGTGGTTTAAACACATGAATAAACATATACCACATTTAATTAGCCAGATATTTTACCTACACTTACATGAATAGCACTTGTTAATTCAGCAAGTGTGGCAGCCATTATGGTGGCTAAAATACGTTGACAATTCTCAGGATGGTTTCTATGGTAACAGCGGAGAACTTCTGTCAATCCGGGTTTGATTGATGGCAAAATCTGAAGGGAAATTCAACAGAAAAAATGTGTTTATAAAACAAGGTGGAATTTAACAAACTGAAATTTTTACTATCTGTCATAAAATATTTAAAAAAAATATTATTTCTCACAATCAGTGGCGTATAGTCTAGGGGTGCATGGGGCCCTAAAAAAATACTTGCGCCCCCAGCTGCCCCGCCTCCAATTAAAAAAGTTTGATGCAAAAATGTTTATATAGTTAAAAATCTCCTCATTTTGCAAACCAGCTCGCCTCACCTATTTATTAGGAAGCTTTCGATTGCATGAAGACGGTAGGCTGTAGAACGATAATGACATTACTAAAAGTCATCTGCGCATGTGAAAATGTTAAGTTCTCCTCATCGCGTGGATTCCAGGACGCAATTTGACAAAATTTACGTATATAGAGAATGTAGGATGCCCGGCAGGACAGTCACGCATGAGTGATTGCATTCTAGTGTCGAACAAATCAGAAGCTCCCAAATGAGGGCCCCCAACTTCACCTTTGTGCTCTCTCCATCAGCCCCACCATTTCAAGACTCCGAGGTGGCTCACAATTATCTCAGCATATAAGTACTGTATGAGGTACATTTTGACAAATCTATCTTTACCTTTTCCACTTCTTCACTGCCATCTTTAGTTGTCTGAGCTAGTACCTTAATAATCTGAGAGAGTAGCAAGGGCACTATATCATCTTGCTCATTTGTTGCCGTCAACAGCTTCAAACTTACATGATACAAAACCAGCACAATCGATGGTAATAACTCCAAGGGAAGATCTACAGAAAACAAAAAAAAGGTTTTATCCAATACTTATTTAAGTTATTTCCTTTACAACCAACTGTAAAGTATAAACAGGGGTGGACGCCAGCGGGAGTTGGGGGCCAGGGCCCCCCGTCAGAGAGAGCTGGCTTGTCTGCTAGAAAAAAACATATATGTACTTTCTGCATATTAGTAGACTCTAAAATTTATTAAATAAGTCATTGAAACCCCAAAATTGTCAAAATTTCCGGAGCCTTCACCCCCTGGACCACTTTGGGATCTGGAGAAGAAAAACCTAGTTTTTATTATATTTAGGCCTATTTAATTTCACTTACAACTAACACTTGGCAACATACTGGTTGTTCATTACATATATTAGGATACACTTTTGACAAATGACCCTTCTTCCATTTAGCTTCCCCTTACCCATTTTTATAATTAATATTATTATTTTCTTTATTTCATGTTCTTTATTTCATGTATATAACAGACACTTACTTCATCTATATTGCACAATTGATTTATAAGGGTCTCAGACAAAAAGCTTTGCTCTCTGTGTTACTTTTTCCATATCCAACATTGTAAAACAAATTACTGTATGATTTTGCCTAATATGGAAAAAATGGTAATTTATATTGTTTTGCAACACTACGAAAACGTATACATTTACGTCATCAATTTGATAACTGTTGAGTTGATCCCTATTCATATCTTTACTATGTATCTGCGTTTTACGAGAATCGTTATTCATAACCGTAAGTACAGAAACGAATATAATTTTAAACACTTTACCACATTAAAATTCGGACTGAGTAAATCTATTATTAGGATATTAAATATCAACAATATAAGGATATTAATTTACTGAAAACGTTAAATTGACTCCCTTTAAATACATGATAAATTGGGAGTTCAAAAGTGCTTTCTCAAGCCCATGCCAAACAAGGCCTCAGCAAGATCATTCAAGAAATTTTACGCGAAATAATCGCCTTTCCTATACCCTGCTTCTCGTACACCGCCGCTTCTGAGCTAGAGACTTAATGTGCCTATCGATACTTAGCATAAACTTAGGCTAAGTAAACGAGAGAATTTAGTGTGCGATAAATTGTTTATATTTGTTACTAATGGCCCAAGCTTAGCTACTATTATTAACAGCCACATTAATTTAGCCTATTTAGGCCGGAGGTTGCCCGTAATTCTATAGGTCTAGCCTACGTACCGTTTTTAGTCCCAGCGGTGTAGGGAGACCACCATGAAAATCGACAGATGATATGGAGCGCAAAAGAAGTCATCGTATAACGCAGTTCATTAAAATATTCTTACATTCTGAAACGCACTCTCAATCAGAATTTCCCAACGAGGAGTCCAAGCTTCCCGACAAGGGGTCTACGTCCCCTTCCCCGTCGGAGAAGCCTAGCTCCCCTCCCCTCGTCAGGGAAAAATTAGGTCTGTTGGGGAATTTTTTTTATTGAAAGATAATAAAATGTTGTGTTAATTATGGGACTATTTATTTAAAAAAGGATAATTACGGCGCCCAAGATTTGATTTTCCCCCAACGAACTTGTTGGAAATTCCCCCGACAGGGGGTCCAATCGGGAGTCCAGCGGTCCCCGATGGGGGTACTTTGCACTCCAGGAACCCCGCTAGCACTGCCCCTGCTGTCAATACAAATTGTTCTGATTTCCAAATTAGTTAAGAAAGTACAGTAATATCAAAATAAATTTATTAAAGGGTATGAGTTAAAAAATAAAAGTGGCAGATGTAGAAGTGTCAAAAGGGGCTCCCACCCCAAAACCCCAGCAGCAGCCCAAAAAAATCTCAGTGTGAAATTCTTAAATAAGAGATTAAAATTGCTAAAACTGCAATTCTTTAATGGGAAAACCCCTCGGTAGGTAAAGCAAAAGCATAAAAACTTCCCATCGGACCATATGTTCCCCCTACTCACCACACAGACAAAATAATTCTGGATGGACCACTGAATGATTTTTTTGAAAAGCCAGGAAGATTTTAGACCACCCAGGGCTTTGCCTCTGTTGGAATTGTGAGACACCCTGACAGACCCAGCCCCTGAATGTATAGAGCCACCAGATACAACTTACATCGATGTAATTTGAGTGAATCTGAAACAAACAACTTCAAACACATTGCAGGTCTTGTACAGAAGAGGAGTTTGAAGAAAGAAATCTCCTTTTGGTAGAGATAGTTGGAAGAATGATGCAAGATAGCAACATGGAGGAAAATGAAAGGAATTATTATACTGCAGCTAGAGAAATGAGAGAACAACACGGACAGAACTTCAGAGAGGCTGTAATTCAGTCATTAAAAAGGTCATACAGTGAGGAATATATGCCAAGAAAGAAACTAACCACCAGCAGCAGCAATGCGAGTGACTGTTTGCAGATACTGGTAAGTAAAACTAATGAAGTAGGGAGGAGTATTTTTGGCATGAATTTCCTTTCCGGTGATGAATTGGGCAGCACACCGGGTGATAAACCCCTACTTTTTTCCAAAGAGTGTACTGCATTTTTTAACATACACATGGGCCATAATGCCAATGGGACTAACTGCTTAAACGTTTCATCCGAAAGACGGTGCGCTATCATAACTTGTACTTGTGTTTCCGGCTGTAATGCAAGGAGAGCAGCGATAGGAATTGAACTGGGGACCTAGAGATCTCCACTTGCTAATTGTTAGCTGCTGCGTATGAACATACTGTAGCCATAGTGTCCTGTGGATTTCAAAGTCAAGTTGAATGGCTGAACGGTTTAAGTCAGTGGCGCTGCAACCCGTATAGTTAAAAACAGCTCGCTCACCTATGGTTCTGATGGTGGAACAAGTCTTCTCGGATAAGGGTAAGGACTATGAAACTGTAGGCCCAGTGCACAATTGGCTCCTGTGTACTGGGCCATACAGGTCCTGTTAAGGCCTGTTTACACTAGGACGATAAGGATCAACAATAAAAGTTGTAGAAGTAGTAAAAATGATTTTATAATTTTCCCATGATTATGGTGTCATTTGATTCGATTTGTGAAATTATTTTTTTTATCGTATACACCAAAAGTGGGCATAAAACTTAGGTTGGAGGGCCAAAGTGAATTTTTGATTTAACACTGAGGGCCACGCCCAAACTGAGTGCAGATTTTTCTAGTGAGCTTCCAAAAACCTCCGAGCACTGCTTTTACACCATTCTCAATTTTAATGTTTTTTTTACTCAGACTGGTGTCAAGCCATAAAAGACAAGGTGTTTTTTTTTAGCCAATGTTGCTTGGCATGCCGCACACATAAGGTCTTTAATTCATTTTCGTGGGCCACAAATAAAATGGCTGTCCGGCCGCAGGCAGCCAGCTGGCCGCAATTTCTTTGCCCACCTGTGGTATACATGATAAATCGTTATCGAATAATTTATTATTTCTTTTATTTTCTATATAAACAATTGCTTTTTAGCCTTTTATCGTTGATTGTTATCGTCATAGTGTAAACTGACCTTTATGGAAAGACGAGAGTAGCTGGTACCGGTTTACTGGGTAGCTCAAACACGAAGAGACCCTTAGGGGAGAAGAAAGTTGCTAAATGATTGAGCTAAATAGTCCACATTTTAAGCACTCTGACATTCATGAAATAATGCTATATAAACTGCTGTAATGTACTTTTTCACTTATTCTAGCCAGCCACTACTAACACCAACAGCCTTCCTCTCAAACGCATTATTTTCAAATTAATGCTATCTACATAAAACAAAAACAACCAATTGTCGCCATATATTTCCAACTTAATCAAACTAGGTCTTTATCCTGTACAAGATCTCTCAGGTCAACCACCAGTTCATCTGAATACGTACTGTGATAGGGCATTTGCAGTTGCAGCTTCTAAGCTGCAGAACAGCTTACCCAATTTGAGAATAATTTTCAGTGGGGACTTTAAAAATTTAATGGAAATCTTTTTAGTCCCATGTTAAACCACCTTTTTGCTTTAGTGTTATTTTTATGTATTGTTCATTTAATAATAGTCATGTCACATGTTCTTGTCAAAAAAAATTTGATAGCATGGACAGGGCTTATTACATGCGTGTTTAGTAATAGTTAACATCACTAATGCAGTAGTTGCAAGAAATCTGATACAAATATGAAATTTTGTTACATTACTGTATAGAGTACTACAGTGTTACGTCACGATATGTGATACTACTCCGTTGCTATCATTGCAAATTGCGTTCAACCGGACGCCATTTTCTCCGCTGACAAACCATTGATCTCAATTTCTAACATAATTATTAAGATGTTGTTTTGTAAATTTTAATTGATGATTAAATGTGTGTTCGATAACTAGTATAATGCAAGCTTTTGTGTTTTTAGTACATTTTGATGGTAAAATATTAGATTTTAAAATGCCTCAGAAAGCCTATGAAGTCATTCAGGCGTAATGAACAGTAACCAGCGTCTGGTTGGTAACAGAGGGCGCTACCGGTCACTACCTGGCGTTGTGACGACTCGACTGTGGTACTCTATATACAGGAACATCTGTGAGCATATGAGATTAATGGTTAAGTGCAGATTGATCAAGTTATTAGATTTGCTTGACGCTTGGCTTTGATCATGATGAGAAGACTACATGTGTACATCTACCAAATTGAATACTAGTACACGCTCTTCTGAGATATTTAAAAAAGAAAGATTAATACCATTCCCAGGCATTATTTCAGCCTGCCTTTATTTCACTTCTTTTGCCACCAGCCTATAGATAATCATTTTACCATACAATACCCTCCATTGAGGACCTGGATGTATTTATTGGTTAACAAATCATAAAACTTAAAGTAGGATTTCTCCAGTAACATCTACTCAACAGAGATTTCCTTTGTGTCAAGCGAGGCAAACAAGTTAAAACAAAACTGGTACTCCTCTCCTGGTTTTTAGCGGTCATAAATACGACATAGCTGCAGTGACTCATCATTGCATCTTATATTCACGTTTAACTTATGCCATAAAGTTCTAAACATTGTAATACATCTTCTATGCCTAAATATGTTTCCACCTGCCTAAGTCGAATCCAAAATGCCACTGGAAAAAATTGACTTACAGATTGTTAATTAATGAAAAACACAACAGTTTAACATGTAAAATAAGTTTGACTTAGGCAAGTTTAACTGTATAATCTTTAGCTTAAATAAAGTGTTTAATGTTCAGATAAATACCCGAGTCTGTGCTCTCCACACACCAGTAAAAAAAACGCTTTTAGAAACAAACGTTTATGGCCACCACCCTGCTTGAGGTACTCACACATAACCAAATCCATTTATATTAAGATGATTATTAGTGTACATAATAAATATTAAACATGAAAAACAAAAAAGTATAAAACATAAATGCAATGAATTATTACCTTTCTGTAATAAGATTTCCAGGAATCCAGCTATATTCCTCCCAATTTCATCTCTAACTTGACCAACCATGAAAGCCTCTGCACTGACTTTGAGAATGCACTATATTCAATAAATGTAGTCACTTATAAATAAATACTATGCTGTAGCAATATTGAGTAATATAATATTTCCTTCTTAATTAGTTTCTTGGAAAACAAATAATTGACTATCTGACATTGTTATTATTATTTCTGTTATTATTTAATGAGAGGACCCTTGCAAATACATTTTAATGACAAATAGATTACAACCCTATTAAAGGGACAATTTTCCTACGACATAATGAAGGCAACCTTTTAACACTACGGCCAACCCCCCTATTAATGGGACAATTTATTTGGTCCCAAATGTCCCCCCTTGATAGGGGTTCTACTTTCTTACTGAATACTGAATAATAATTATCTTACCTTGAGCCATTTACATTGCGGTGTTTTACTCATCACTTGATCAGCTGATACTTCCTGGTCAATAGAGGTCATGAGAGAGGTTAGAAGTTCCCCAACTAAATCTGTGTTTGATTCTCTTTCCTGTGAGTTTAATAAGGCAAACCATACTTTTCAAAACAAGCTTCTGTGTATTTTAATTTACTATGATGATTAGGAACTGTTACTTGCTATACTAAACTTACTAAAATTTATACTGACAAATTTTAAAAATACATCCACTACTACTGTACTACTCTTGTTTTAGATGCACTTTTTGTATTTGTTAGTATAAAATTTGACACTGGCACTGTCCTCTGTCATCGTCACTAATTTAATACTAGTAAATGTCAAAAAGTAAAAGAAAACATTAGTAAAAGTATAATCATACCTCAGCTTGAATATGCATAGTCGTCTTGCAGTAGGAGTACAGTGCCTGCTCCAAGATGGCCTCCATGTCTGTATCTATGGCTTTGTTTATTTCAATGCTTTGCTATCAAAAAAAAAACAAACATTAATAATGCTACCTAAAGTATAAATGTGTACCTGGTTGGAGGGGAATGATTCGGAATGAAATCAGTAGTGCTGGTTACACGCATAACTAGGAATACTCCCCAGGGAGCGGAGGAGGTTGCATGTTGTGTATGATTGATTTTGTAAAAACGCAAGTATACGTAACTATTTTACACCAAAATAAATTATAAACGGCTTCCTCAAAAAAATATGATAATCATTTATTTGAACATACACTTTCATAACAGAGGCACACATCAATTAGATAGTGCATTCAGGAAAAAATAAAATATAGATAATATTTTTTTGTTGTGTTCCTCACCACGGTGTCTTTGAGGGCAGAGAGCACCTGTAACAGATGTTCTGAGTTTTCTTGCATAATGCATGTTCTTGTTGTTTTCTGGGCAAGTAACCAATCAAGTATTCGCAGTGCTACTTCACACTGCTTCAGGTTGTCCTTTTGTTCCTTTAAAAAGTAAATTCAATTTGATTCATTTTTTATTGATAAATTAAAAACATTTTTTATTTTAATTATAAATATTCTTATGCGAGCCACATTTTCACTAAAAACCTGTAAATACAGATGTACAAATGCTAGAATAGACAATTTCATTGTATATGGATACCATTGGGCTAAATACTTTCTGGTTCCTATTTTAAATTGGCTTTGCTGTAAAGGGCATTTTCTTACTATAAAATGATTTCTGCATATTCAGTTCTTTACTTTAATTCTTATTATCCAAAATAATCCCATAAATTTACTTTTTATTGATGTTGTAGTTAAGTCTGCTGGCACTAAACTATGGCAGCCGTGGGTCCCTGGGGACCCAGCCCAAATTTCCCAGTGAGTAAGCCTATACGAGGACAAATAAAGAATTATTATTATTGTTATTATAGAACCAACCTTCATGTTTTGAACTCGCTGACTCATTACATCAAGAACACTTGCACCCTCCTCCCAACTGACTTGAATACTTGAATCATTCTGTTCAGAAACATTTTATCATTATTAGACATTACATACTCAAAAACTGATTGAATAATATCTTTATCCTCAAAACTCATTTTTTGTTGTTGGTAGGATAGGATAGTCAGACGCCATTTTCCCTCGAGCTTCTGTGAGTTCTGTTCCAACTAGCTCTCAATTATGAAAGCTTCAAAGTACCGGAGAACGGAGTGTTGAAAATAGTTCCTCTGCGTTTAGTTGTTTTTTCTTTTTTTGTTAGGATATTTCATGATTTTATTCTATTTCTTGTGTTCATTTTCTGTAAAGTGCTAGAAGCACTGTTTTGTATTCAGCACTCTATAAGACTAACATTATTACATTATTATTATAGAGACTGTCCAAAATACAAATTAATATTTACATAATCAGCATAGATTAACTAGTAATCAATTTGTTGAAGTTAAAAATTATGTCTATCTTATTTAGTTTTCCCAGGTTTTACATGGCTTTCTATAAACCTTGTGGCAAGGAATAACACCACAAAAAAAAAACAAAAAAAAAAACACAGTATTATTTATAATGCAAATACTTACTACGGATAACAAGAATAATATCATTATAGTAATTTAAGTACCTAAACAATATTGAAAATTCACATTAAGTTGAATGTGTGTTGAAGGAATTAGTTGAATAAATTTTTTGGCTGATTGACTATAATAAGGAAAATAATCACAAAACCCACCTTAATGTTTTGAAGTCGCTGATAAATAATATCAAGAACGTTTCCTCCCTTCCCCCAACTAACCAGGCATTCTAAAAGAGGGGCAAAGTCATTTACTGAACTTTCACATCTTAGCATCTTCAACTTGTTCAAGCAATTTTCCCTAAGTAAAAAGATAAATAAACCATCAAACATAATAATACTGTTCAATCATAGACCACAAATATTAAAATTCAAACATATGATGTGGATAGAAATCTCATGGTCATGGTGTCAAGTCTTTGGAGTGCCTTACTGTAGGTAAGTGTACACACCATTTTATGGGGTCTATTTTGAAACAGTGCATCCAACATCTCACAACTTTTCACTGGGAATCTCAAATTCTTCTACAACCAAAAACACTGCAGGTTCTATGCACCCCTATTTTATTTTATTTTTTGGCATTTTGTTTAGCTTAGGCCTAGGGTAACTCACTACAACAAGAAGGTATGTTAACAATTTTAAGCACCCTTTAATAATTCAAAAATCTGTATCTCATAAACCATTCCCGAGTTTTTCCTTTTTCCTTTTAAGCCCTTTTTTGGCTTACAAATATGAGTTGTACAACATGTAAATTTTTTTTTTTTTTTAAAACTCTCTGGAGCCTCTCTTTAATGAGTGCAGAGCAGGGGATTGTCTCATTTACATACTGTACAGTATGCTGTATAAAGGTTATGTATACTCACTTAAAGTCAGGCAAAGCCAAACCTGGCAAAAAGCTGGCTAGCATCAAGACGGCTTCTAATGAACGACCACCCTAAAGAGGTACACAATTGCAATAATTTACCTTATAATAGTTTACCAGAAAATATATGCTTTAAGCTGGGCACTCACTGCATTCGACGGTCGTCGACCGACGCGATTCTATGCAGAACGCAACTCGAAGACGTGCGCGCAACGGATCGTTTTTAATGACGATCAGTTCAGACTGGCACCGACAATCAGCAAATGGCGTCACATCGTCTATCGCTCACAGGGAGCGGAGTTTGATTCGTTGTACGATGGAGCGAGTGCCCGGCTTTAGCAATTAGGATCAGGCACACAGTCACTTGTACTATGAAAAAACATTTGCACTAAAAGAACAATAAAACTAATAGTACATAAATTATCTGTATAGGTGTAATTTTTGCCCTACCTGACGCGGAAATGTACCGAATACTCAGTACATTTGAAAACAACTGCGAAAAAAATTGCAAGTTGTCCTCGGGTGGGACTCGAACCCACGATCTCCAGATCACTAGCCTGGCATCATACCTCTAGACCACCGAGCTTGCGCCTGATGGCCAGGGTTGAATTTGAGTCCAAGTAGTCTAAGTAAATTATCATTGGTTATTTTCTATAACAATAAAAATAATATACAGTTTATATTAGATTTCTAATTATTGTTATTTAGAATTTACCTGAAAAACATCCAGGAATAACGGTACAGCCTTACTGAGCCGCTTTACCAGCTTCTGTCTCAAAGCACCATGGGATGTCTGGAGAGATATAAATGTGTGAAAACAAAATAGAAACACAAGAAAATTAAAACTGTAGAATTGCATGTAAATTATAAATTTCATAACAGAATATATGGATTTTCCAAAATCTATACATAGGGAAATATATATATCGGACATATGCTTATTTAAATTCTTATGTGTTATTTAAAGGTAAAGCTAGAAGAGGAGATTAACCTACAACTTGTAGTGTCATTGTGTTTAATTGCCTATGGGAGTGGTCTGTGACTACCTAGCCGCTAAAAAGAGCCAATTATAGTAGCTACATGGTCACATCATTCCACAACATTGTCTTTAACATATTGCTGTTGTTGCTCTAACCAAGTTTATATATAACTAGTGATTTTTAACAAGTGATACATTATGCTACAAAAATGATACTCATCGTTATTTATCACTGATAGAGGAGTTATCATTTTGATTACATCTGTGACACAAAAAAAATCGTAGACAAGAAAATCTATGTAAAAGTAATAATTATTTGAAAATACATACACTACAATAAAATAATACTTATATTTTTTAATAAACCTGATATCCAAGGTATGTAAAATGTATTTTTACAATACAGAATGAAATTCTATCAGTTTCTTTTATGATTTTGAATTTTTCGATGCAGTTTTATTGATACAATCCATCGGTCAACAGTAGATAAGTTTTGAATGTCACTTACCATTAACTGATGGTCAATACTCGTCCAGAGGATGACCATCACTTCCAGCAGTCCATCAATAATGTCTTTGTCAGCCAGAGACAAAGTATCTTCTTCATCTGCATTTTTGTCAGTTTCTTCATCAGAATCATTATCATTTGATGTTGAACGGTTCACACATCCAAAGATGCATTGGCAAACCAAAAGTAGGAACTTGGCTGTGGGCATCAGATATGCTTATATTTGAAATTGTATTCTTCCTGATATTGCAAGTTCATCGTGTTGAATAGTTTAATTACAATAAAGATTTGTCTTCACTATCAAATTTTATTTGACAAAAACTTCTGTATGCCCATATATAGTCGTGATGTCATCATGACCATATTTAGGCATATCACATGTTTTTGTCAAATGAAATTTGATAGTCTGGACAGGATTTTCTTCTGCATGTTCTTCTAGACAATTTTTTTTCTTTTTGAAGTTGATTTGTTCCTGGATGATTTCTAGTTTTTTTCAATTGTGTTTAGTTTACATTTATTACAAGGTAATATTTTTTTAGACAATTTATGTGCTCTTTGTAATGTTGATTTATTTTAGTCTTATGATTTTGATAGAGAAAGAGATTTAACTTATCATGTTGGGCAAACTTCATTTCGCAAAAACGCCATCAGAATAGCGTTGCAGTACCTGTGGCTACATGCGGATCGGATTCATCACTAGCCACCAAGCGTAAGCCTGGTGGTCAAGTGGTTAAGACACCAAACTAATTATTTGGAAATCATGGTTTTTTTCACAAGCATTTGGAAAAGTACTGAGCATAATATTACAAGACGTCTGGTAGGGCAAACATCGATTTTGTAAAATATCAACACTTGATGGAAGAAAACATTTGAACATACCAGAGTCAAATGGTGACATATGCTGGTGAGCGTATCTGTAGAAGACTCTTGCAGCAGCAGCATTGTTCTGCACAAGAGCAATGCACCGTGTCAATTGGACCTCTCCAGCTTTATCCAGTGGCTGGAAGGAGTTGAAAAGGAGCTGTACCAGACGTTTAACGACAGGAGGCGAGTCTAGTTCCAAACGGACCAGCAAGTGTTCCACAGAGACTACCTCACTCACCTGTGAGAAAGAAAGCTTTGATGCTAAATAAAAGTTTTGTTGGGATCATTTGTTTTTCAATCCCATAGACTTTTTATCCATTTCCATATTAACATTTATTTCATGTTTACATAATTATTATTTTTAAATAATTTCATAACATTTACTTTTTAATCTGGTATAAAAATTTAAAAAAAAACCCCTTTAAACACAATTTAAAACATGAAATAATTGGCCTTTAAATTTCAACTAACCTTAATGCTACGGACACCTTTTACTTTGAGCATAAGTTCCACAAAAGCGACGCGAACTTTCTCCGAGGAATCATGAATGAGGAGGCCTAGCTGAGGTAGAAGACGTTTCATCAACCCATGACTCAAACGGTTGTCCAACACAGTTGCTAGGCCCTACAAAGCAAATCATATATCATATTTCACGGTAAATACTGTATTAGGCTCTGCAGACACAATTGTAGAATACCAGTCTTCACAGATAAGCACTGTAAACCGTTCACTGTGCAATTTGAAGAACTCAGAACATTTTTCGAGATGAGTAGGGGGTTACCTAAGTATCCTGTTTCTTTGCAGGATGTACCTACATAAACATACTGTACATAATGCTGTACTTAATTTAAGAGAGAAATTTTTATATCATGTTTCGTAAACCATCTTTCTTTCATTATTGAGAATGTTGAATTCAAACACTAATACTATAAGTATTATTTGAAGGTTTGAAGTATTATTTGAGGGTAATAACATATATGTTTCAGCTTGCGGTACACCACGTAAAAAATCAAAAACTGCTGAACAAAATTTCTAAAATTTATTTTTACCATTACCATACCTGCTGCTTTAAGTATTTCTTATGAAAATATTCAGAGAGAGCAGCTTAGCTCAGTCAGCTAACCTGGTGGTAGCCACTGTGTGTGCGCGTTGAACCGTGGAGATCTCTAGGTCCCCGGTTCAATTCCCATCACTGCCTCTCCTTGTGTTTCAGCTAGAGGGCTGAAATACAAGTTACTATAGCGCACCATCTTTCGGATGAGACGTTTAAGCCTTTGGTCCCTATGCATTTATGGCCCATGTACACGTTGAAGAACACAGTACACTCTTCAGAAAAGAGTAGGGGATTGTCTCCCGGTGTACTGCCCAATCACCACCAGAAGGACCACAATGGAAATAAGTCTTCTTCTAGACTTCTGTGGGCTATCCTTGGTGTTTACACCAAATAAATCTAATCTAATTCTATTAACCCTAAATATCAATAAATATTCCAAATTATTGCTAGCAGACCTTGTAGACAGCTGCCCTGACATCAGTGGAGGATACATCTCTAGCAAGATCCTGAATCAGTTTCCCAAGCAGATCCTCTAGGGTCTTAATTGGAATCAGTTCCCAGAAAACATTAAAAATTCGACAGATCCCGATGACACATGTCTTACGAACCACTACGCATGGATCATTTAGTAGATCCTGTATAAAAAGGAGAAAAAAAATCACAAGAATATTTTTGTTGTTGTTATAATCCAACAGATTACTTAGTCATGATACATGAGACCTGTCATCCCAATACCTGCGTACTGTCACCACATGTTAAATTGAGTAATCAGCATAAGAATGTGGAAGTATTAGTATACTTTTGTCATAGAGCTATTAAACAACTAGAGTGCTGACAAGATGGCGGAGCAATGCAGAGTTATGTATGTGTACCATCCAAGATGGCCGTCGTATGAAAGCGCCACCTTCAGGCTTAATATACATGTTATTACCATAATAAGCCCTCTGACTGAATATTATTTCATTAATGATAATTAGTATTGATAATGACAAATTATTAAACTGTCGTAGCCAAAAAGAGGCCAGGTAGAGCATCTTATTCAAATATTTTAAAAAAATTAAAATCGTGTACATTACACCCATACACTGCAACGCTCGAGTTTCAAACATAGCTGTACTGAACTTTCGGTGTAAATTGAGGGCGCCATTGAAAATGATATTGCTCAGGGGAAATTTGATTGGTTGAATCTATGACAGCCATCTTGGATGGTACACACACACAGCTCTGCGTATTTCGAACATCGAATACATTGCTGTTTAATAGCGCTCTAGTATTCTTATTTTATCTCTATGACTTTTGTACAGAGAAGGCATAATGTCAAATCCAGTAAATGACCCCCTAGGAGGGATGCAGGATTTGGTGGTAGGAGGTGCATGACAATCCAGTCCCATCATGGTTAGGGCTGAGGTGAGAAAATTTAGAGAATATGGACCTTAAGATGCCCAGAAATTGCACTCTTCACTCTTATACTTTTAAAATCTTATCAGTACTATATTTTTAATAATAAAAATAATATATCAATAATAAAATACAATTATTTTTCTTAATACAATTTAGGGGGGTTCAATCGCACCGTCTGCACCCCCACCCCTCTATCATTTTAAAGCGTATAATGTGGAGAATAAGCATATGTTAAAAAGTAATTTTCATTTTTGGTCGCTGATGTTGGTTATAATATAAACATACTTGCATAGGAATTTACATAGAATCTAGCTGATAACTGCCAACTGACAAAGTGCTACCCAGCTTTAAAAAACAATCTACACATATCAGAAAAAGCAGATTGTCTGGTAAAGGGATTTAGGAAATCAGTTGTTTAGGTGTGGAGTTATTTAAGGAGTTTAGAGAATGTAGCTGATTTTCATTAAAAAAAATAAAAATTCTTACTCTGTATTTACAGAGTAAGAACTAGATTTTGAAGATAGGCACTTAACCAGAAATCAGTTGTTTAGGTGTGGAGTTATTTAAGGAGTTCAGAGAATGTAGCTGATTTTCATTTTTAAAAATGGATTCCTTTCCAGATTTGGAAGATAGGCACTTAACCAGAAAACTGGCTAAAGCTCCACTTTATATATTTAGTGTGAACTAAATTGTTTAATTAATGAATACTCATGTTACAACAGTTATACTTTGCACTAACAGTATCAATAAATGGAGCTTTTGGAAGCATGGCACAATGGAAGTGCCAAGCTTACTATATAATATTAGGCACTCTTTTATATGCTTCACAAATATAAGAAATGTGGCGGTCTAATGGATAAGAGAGGCTTAAGGATACTGTGCTTGATTGTACGAAGACTACTTACGGATAAGATGTCAAACTGTTTCTGAAGCAGATTGTCTCTCTCCTCCTTCGTTTCTTTGGGGTCTTGTAGCGGGAAAGCATCAATTAGGAGGGTGATTGAATTGGCTCGCACAGTCCCATTAGCAACCTGAAATCAGATATATTGATTACTGTTAGGAAAAATTACCACATTTTGCCTAATAGTCTATTAGTGTTATTTTTGTTTTGTTAGTCATTTTTGTAAGGGAATGGAAGACAATTATCATGACCACCAAGCTACAACCCCACTCCAATATTATAAATCATAATTATTATAACTATTATTATTATCATCATAATGGCCAAACAACATAGCATTAGCAATAGTTTGATGATGATGATTGAGGATGTGAGTTTCAGAGCTTTTAATCGATCTACAAGTCGAGCTGTTATCGCAAGCCTAAATATAATACTTTTTTTTTTAAATATGCAATCAAGGATAAAGCTCTGCCCACACTATCAAATTTTCTCTGAAAATAAAACTGATGTATACTCATATATAGTCATGATGTGCCTATATATGGTCATGATGTGATGTCATCATGACCATATTTAGGCATGTCACATAAAATTTGATAGTCTGGACAGGGCTTGAGGCTTCACCTTGAGAGAACGCCACAGAATAGGGTTGTAGAGTTTCAGCAGCATCTTGTCAACGCCTTGATGTACCTTTTGTCTGTGGAAACATCCAAGTATCTGTAGGAAAAACATTTAAAAAAACTAGTGCTCGATAGAAGTGCTATTTGGTGTTTTAGGGAAGGTAACTATAAACCATTAAGAATAAGGTTATGGGTAAAGTTGAGGATGCTATCACTAATTAGTACAAATGATAAAACTTAAAGCCTATTTTCCACTAAGCGAATTTGTCCGCGTAAATCAAAGCGTTGGTTCACTTCCTGAGCTCTGATAGTTGCGCCATTTTTTTCGCTTCGCAAAAAGTAGAAACAGTTGGAACTACCGATTTCACTGAAGCGAAAACCTCTGATGGAAATGTGAATGCGCATGAACCAACACTTTTTGATTCGCGCAAATAAATTCGCTTTGTGGAAAACAGGCTTAAGCCAGGGACTCACTACGCCCGTCGGATGTCAGCTGACACGATTTTATGGAGAACGCAAGGCCACAACACAACACAAAGGCAACAGATTGTTTTTAATGCCAATCTGATCAGATTGCCACCGACAATCAGTACACGGCATCACATAGTTTTTCACTCACAAGGAGCGGCGTTGGATTCGTCGTAGAGAAATTTTCTCCGTATCTGCACTTTTTTGGTCCCAAAGATGTAATAATAATAGTAATAATAATCATACTCATTTTAGCACCTATTAAAGCAAAATAAACCTTAATAGGAGTTCTACTGCAGTACCATGTTCACTTACCTTTCTGAGATTAGATGCCATAGAGCGGACTCCTGCCCTGGACGCATGAACTGCATGGTACATGAAGTCTTGGATGCAGTGTTGCTCAATCTTATCAATGAATGGCCCAGTTGCTGACTTCCACGCCTTGACATATACAGTGCCATACCATTCAATCATGGGCCTAAAGAAAAATACACAACATTCAAAAATAGCATAATGCTCTCCAATTTGAAACCACTTTGGAGTCTGAAAATTTGGGATGGTCTCGAGGTTTGGTCTTCACATAGAGTGTTTGCTTAGTGTTCATAGAGGGAAGATGATTTGGTTCTTTGATATAAGTGATCTTGAATTACATTGTTAGGTAGCAAAATTTCACATGACAAGCATAACCACAGAAGTGTCCTACTATAACTACAGATTAAAATTGAACAGAACATAGTTTCTGATTTACAAAGAGCACATACTTAGGACAAGCTGGAATCTGGTTCTTAATTGCCACGTGGAGCTGCTCAACAAATTCCAAGTTCAATTCGAATAGAAAGCTTACGAATCTGCGACCCTAAAAAATATATCACAGAAGATAAAAAGTAACACTAAGTATGAAAACAGATCTTTCCAGATAATATTAATAACTTAACATTCAGTAATACTCATTTATTTTCAATGTAAACAGAACATTTACATATTAACAGATTTTCAAGAGTCAGCTATGAATAAAAAATGTCATAATAAATATATACTGTATAAATAAATAACAGGTAAAACCTATTCCCGCTGGACAATTATTATTCTTCTAATAATTATAACAAAAACAATTAACATCAATGAATCCAATAGTGACCTATCCAACAGGCCAGTTGTTTGAAGAAATTAAGTCGAACTGGACAAAACATTACTCAACATTATAGTAAGTTTAGTTAATTTATTCATTATTAAATATTATCAATATTACAAAAATTAATATTAATGATAATAATAAATTTTACCTCGTCAGCTTTCAAAAAAGCTGTGCTTATAGCACTACTCAACAACAGGTTCTTAAGTGTAACGCTGCTTTCATCTTCAAAGTCTATCTGAAGTAAGCTATAACGCATTGAGAATACACGTTTCACGTCTGCAAACTGCATTGTTAAAAAGCGGGAAAGTAAGAATGATAAATTGTAGCAGTTAGTGGTATGAAGCATTGAAAAAAGATATTAAAATCTTAATGTATAAATTATATTGATACTTATTTATTAAATTGCATTAATTCATAATCATATCAAGTACATCATAAAGCAACATTAAACGCATTTGAACACTTAGTTTAATGTTTTTACAACAAATACAACAAAAAGAATTTGGTGGACTCGATAAAATGAATATCCTTCTTTTTGTACCTTCTTAATCATGTTTTGTCTTTTATTTGTAATTACTTCATGAAAAGCAATACATATTACTTACTTAGTTATGTATTTTCATTTGTTTTGGGCCATAGAACTATTTTTGATCATTTGCTTTACCTTATTACATAAAATTAAACTATCCTTTAAATATATATACTTACACTTGCATTGGGTTGAATGCTCTTCACTAGAAAAAACATGATAGTATTTGCAACAAGTCCTTCCCTGCCTGGCAACTCTTTCACCCACCTTAAAAAAAAAATTCAAATATTATTAATGCATATTACAGTATTGATCTTCAAACACCCGCAAACAAGCAAAGATTTCCCGAAAAACAACCCATCTTCAAAAATTCATAATTTTGCATGTTGTCACTGCTTTATTATCAATCTTCTCATGGAAGAAGTGCCGATTAGTATCACTATGTGCAGAAAAATAAAATTAAATATGTTAAGAAAGCTCATCAACCAGATCAGTGGTGGATTCAAGGGCGGGGGACAGCCTGCCTGGGTCCCCAAAATATTTCAAAATTATTTTTTTTAAATGGAGTAGAAAAAAATGTCAAATTTAAGTCAGAAGAATGCCATTTCTGGCCATCTAGAGGTGCCATAATCATAAATTTTTTTACCTCATCCCCAACCAGACCACGGTGGAAGTCCCTCCCCGCCCCCCACCCTTCGACCTGCCACCGCAGATCTCATGGAAATTACTTCTTCCAACTTAAGGCCCCTGTATATAGGTATGACATAACATCATCATGCTCATATATGGGCAAATCAAATATATTTTTCACAGAAAATTTTATTATGCGTAGATCTTACTCACCAAGTTTGACAAACTTTAGCAATGCTAGCTTGAACCTTATTTGCCTTGTCTGGAAATTCAAGCAATAGCTCTGCACAAAGAAGACAGTGGTGATAAGACAACAAATTCTAAAGACATGATTTTTCGATTGAAAGTAGACACAGAATTGTAATATGATATGTGGCAAAGACAAGCCAAACCAGTCACTCGTCGCAAAAATTGATTTTGAGTTATTAACACAGCGTTAACAATAAAATGAAAGCCATAAAATGGTAAAAGAACCATTTAAATCTGACATTTCTTTATGAAGTGACAAGCGTTCATAAACATACAGCTGTTTAATGAACAATATTTGAGAAATCATCTTTCAAAGTTTATGATTTTGGGCATTTCTCAGGGAGAAACTATCACCAAATCGTTAAAAATTGTTGTTTTAACACTGAGAATAGGCAAAATAACAGAATAGCATGGTGTATAGATATATACAGGTCAGTTTAGTGCAATAAAATAGATTTCAGCATGTTTGTTATTATCTCTAAAGCATGATTTGCGACGAGTAACTGACTTGGCTTTTCTTTGCCATGGTCTGATAGTGTTTCCATTAATATATAATTCCCTTGTAGACAGGACACAGTTTAAAGTGAATTAATGTCATTTAATAATAACATATGTGATAGGGATGCTTTTGCAGAATCTGTGGCCAGCTATAGATATTTCAACCTGAAATGTTTATTGGCTGTTTTTTTCACATTTCACAAGTGCATGTATGCTACTGTAGGGCCGCGGGATTTGACTTGGTTGACAGCCTAAGTCAATACTACAGTTGTCATAATTACCAATTCAAGATTTTAAAATATATAATAATGTTTTCATATTTCAAATTATTAATATTATGTGATAATTTGTCACAGATTCAGTTGAGTACTTACCATGCAAAGCTGTGATGGTTTCTAACATTTTATCTGGAATGATAGGTTTATTTTGGTCCAAGACACACCCAGCAATTGTTAGAATATCCTGCAAACACATGGCAGTTGCCTGAAGCGCCTCATCTTCCTGCAAAAGAATGTATTTTCATATAGTTTTATTCATTCACTCAAACCTCACATGAATAGATTGCACTGCTACATAAGTCTCTTTGAAGTTTAGGCCTCTAATTGTACTTAAGAAACTAAGAAATTTGAATTTCCTTCTAATTTGAAGCTTAACAGTACAGTACTTGGATTATTTTGTTAAAACTTGTTTCAAATTACACATTTTACTGAAAATTCAGTAAATTTTTTCTAGAGGGTTTTATTGATTTGTATTTCTTTTAAGAGTCTTAAAAAGTTATTTCTCAATTTGTTGAATTTTTCACTCAGTTTAATTTGGTGATATTTCACAAATAGATCTAGAAAAATTAATTCTTATACATTTATTTCATCACATGTACATTATTAAATGAACATTTTTTTAAAAATCAATAATATCAAGTGTAATTTAGGAGTAAACGTTCTTCATAAACAGATTGTTACAAGTTGTTAATTCATAATTAGATTGTTATTTAAAGACGAAAACTTACAATATCCGGCATAAGGGGTGCTTGTGTGAGTGCTCGTGTCATCTGTTCATACAATCCTTCCCATATTTCCTCTTGCTTTTTTCTTGAACATACTGGTAAAATATCTTTCAAGTTGAAATCATCATTTTTGTTAATCTACAAAAAAATATATTAATTAATTTTTGACCATTACTGATGCATATAAATTTATACTGCTGACAAATGAAATATAAAATCTTGAATTGAATTGCTGTATTTGTTTATTATAGAATAGTGTATTAATAGTTTTTAATGTAAAAGTTTATTACATATAATATCTGTTTTTTAATGGTTTATTGAACTATCATTATAATACAATGCATTGTCTTTTGATCATGTTTCATGGATGACTGTAGTTAACAATGGCAAAATTAGTTTTTTTTTATAAACTTATGAAATAAATCGTGTTACTGCTAATATAGTGGATGGAAATGAATGACAATGGGACCTTGAGTATTGACCCTATCACTGTACACTTACATGCTTTGAAATTAGGTCATGAAGTTCCAATGGGTCATGTCCATTGCAAGCAGCAGTAAGCGTTTCTATCATCATCCTTTCACTACGCTTTACATTAACTGTCTAAATTAAAGAAAACCAACAAAAACTATGTAACGCCAATCAATGGTAAAAAGAAGTGTGTCTCAAACCAATCGACTTATAACATTTGCGATGTTTCTGTAAAGAAAACTAACACCAATTAAATTGATACTGTGATTTTAATAAACTTTAATGCTGTAGTAATAAATACTATTAAACTAGGGTAGGCCTATGCCTAGTGTAGTGGTGGATTCTGACGAGGCCTCACTCCAACTAAGTTGTCCCAAAAAAGGAAGTGCGTCCCACAACTAAGCCTAACTAAAGGCCTACCCCTACCTAGACAACCGACTAACTGGCACTTGGTCCTACTATAGTACTACTAGGCTAGGCCTAGATAGCTGGCTAAGCCTAGCTTTCTTTGGGCCTAGGCTACGCTAGGGTACTACTAGGCCGCCGCCTGCGACAGGGCCTAGGAGGCTAGGCGCCTAACTAACTAAAGCTTGAACTTTGTTTTCAAAATTGCTAATGTAACAGCGTAATAATTATTAATAGTATTGCAGTAACCTTAACGGTAGAATGTTGTTCCAAAATTTGTAATTAAGGAGAAGCCTGAGCCTTTCTTTCACTGTCAATCAGTTGTCAAAATTAATACAAGAACTTGAATTTCTTCAATTTTCCGCGCCACCCCGCCGCTTGTATTATGATATTACTAATTAGAATGAGGAGGTGGTATAATAGTGGGTATAGGTAGCAGCTTTCTCAGAAATGCCTATGTTATTGCACTGCATCGTTTTAATTGCATGGAGTCAACAGCATACGCTTGGGTACCCGACTAATAATGAAACTTTTACGGTTCGACACGGTCACTATAAGCAAAGGTACGTCGTCTTCCGTCCTTTAGTTCAGCTGATCGTCTGTGGTTTTTTGTGAACTTGAAATTGAGTTTGGTGAGGTTGGTAAGTCAAACAATATTATAATAGCCATCCAAAGTTCTGATTTATTACTAAAATGAACAAGAAATGGAGCTCAAGATACAATGGACATTTGGAGAAAAGCGTCAATACCAGCATTATTGCTGAAGAGAATGCCAGAATTGATCAGAAGCAGTGCCATTATGAATCAGTCCTAGACCAACAAGGGCCTGATGATCCGCCTATCATACTTTCTTTCAGAGAATTCCCATTTTAAGTGGCAAGAGCTCGTATTGTTAGTTGAGATTTTTATCTCTGTAGTTTAGTTGTGAATGTCTGCATGTTGTTTGTGTAGGCCTGTGTACGAGGCCTACACAAATTCTTTAGCCTCATTTTTGGGCATTTTTGTATTAGAAGTTTTTTTATTTGTGTAAATGTTTTACTGCTTTTATTTCCCTTTATTATTATTATTAATAATATTATTATTATTAATATCATTATTATTATTGCTGCTGCTGCTCTTTAGCCTCATTTTTACCGTATTTAATCGTAGTACACTTTCATGATTATAATTAGTTTATATTTTCGCGTTTTTACTTTTATGACATAGGTCTAAATTGTTTAGTATCGTTTTGGTCTTGCCGTATTGACCTATTGCCGTTTTGGTCTATTGCCGTTCTAGTCTAAACGGTTCGCCATTTTTGTTTTTTGCCATTTTGGTCATTGCGTTTTGACTTATTGCCGATTTGGTTTATTGCTGTTTTTTCCAGAAACGATGTACGACTATCGATCATACATTTTCTATACTAAAATCCGCTCTACATATTTGGTTGTTGGACACCTTCATTTTACAGTCCCTGGGTAATGGGACAGCTCATGTCAGACAGATGAAATTCCCCATTGTTGGACATTTTTTAAGGACGTCTCTCACTTGATTACCCCCAGAGGTTTCAAGACTTTCACACTCATCAAGGAAATATGTTGGCTGCAGCTAGACAGTTTATAGAATTTGTTCTCAGTTTCTGTTGAAACTCTCCATGCAAGTCTTTTTATACAGGGGTCCTAAGTTAAAGAACCAATTTCCCCAGAGATTCGTTTAATGACATTAGGGGTGCTATATATTCTATGAGGAAAAAGTGTAGGTACCAAACGAAGGGCTAGGCCCACCATGATTGGGGCTGAGGTGATGACATTTTTTAGAATAATCACCTATAGAAGCCCACAAGGGGCACTGTCAGACTGCAAAAAATAATCAGCAACCAAAGTTTCGGCCTAAATAAAACAAAACGGTTTGTTTTTTACTGAATTTGTGGGAGATAAGTGAATTTCTGGGAGACCATACCGATTTACGGGAGACTCCTGGGAGTTAGGGAAGACTTGGGACTCCTGTTTATATGAGGCTTGGGGCATGGGAGACTGACTAGGCCATGTTTTCAACTTCCTATATAACTGTACACATTACAGTTTTCTAATCGTTTCCTTGTTCAGCTCTCTGAAACAATAGGTGACATCCTGTTTTTCTTCACCTATAGTTTAAGAGTGATAATAGTTATGGTGTTTTTTTTTAAATTATATTTTCATTAAATATACATTTCCCTTTTATAAATATTCTTAGAAATATGAATAAATTACATTGGGTTTTTTTTTTCATCTTTTTATGTGTCTGTAAAAATTTTGCAATATTATTCATTCAGTTTTTTGTTTTTTTTCAATGCTGTCAATAATTTGTAGAACAAACTTAACAAACAAGTTTATTTCATTTTTCATCAGGGACATCAAGGAAATATGTTGGCTGCAGCTAAACAGTTTATAGATTTTGTAAATAAGGGACCATCCCCTTTTCATGGTAAGTGATTTCTGTCTTTGTCACAGAACACAAAAGAAAATTGTATAAATTGACCCCTATAAAATATGACCTGATTTGCATATAGTATATCTTGGCTTTAGCGTATTAATTCACATTTTTTTTCATGGCATATTTATTCACAAATATAAAAAATACTAGCACACATATTCCTACTTTAACTAAAGATGAAATGTAGGTATACCACTATGAACATGAAACAATCTACAATGTCGATGCCAAATTATGAAACGTGTAGGCTGCCGGCACCGAGGCCTCTGATGATTAGTGCCTAAAAATGTTTTATAAAAATGTAGTGCAATAATAACAAATTGATTATTATTGTACATTTTCGGTATATATTTCAGCTGCTCCAAGTTTCTTTCTTATTCTTCCTTCCTCTTGTTCTCATTATTAATGCATTTAATATTGTTAATAGTAATACTAAATTAATATACCTAGTCTAACCTAGGGCCTAGTCCTAGAGCCTAAGCCTACCTGGCCTAAAACTTTCGTAAACATCGTGTGCATTGTATACCCAGTTTAACACATTGCTATCTTCCTATATTCAAAGCCAGACTTAGCTGGCCTTGTGCCAATCTAGGCCATTTTGGGTAGGAAATCAATTTGTCCCTCCCAAGTACCGCCAGATTATAAATCGACTGGAAATCAACCAATAAGTTATAAAATAAATTTGCAATTTTCCTACCAACCTGTGGTGGCCTAATGATGTGGCGTTCAGCCTTGGTCTCCTGTCATTGGACACCACTTGAGGTTGTGGTGATGATACAACTAAATTTTTTTTATTAATTTCAGTTTTTTTCCGAATTATTTTGTAGCTATCAGCAATATTTAAAAAAACAGGCTTTAATAGCATTTTTAAGTGTGTATGATGGTCTTTTTTTTCTAAAACTAATTGGTGGACTAAAGTTTGTTTAATATTTTTTCTTGTGTTTATGTGCTAACACAGCAGTGCAAACTATGATTTGCTTGCATGCTGGTAAAATACAAGCATTTTATGAATTAAAAACAAACTTATTGTTGTACCTTTTTAGTTGTTGATGAGTGCAAGAGACTCCTGCGTGCAAGTGGTTTCAAGGAAATAAGGGAAAGGGAACCATGGAACATAGAGAATAACCAAAAGGTATGGTACAGGGATTTTGATTGGAGGTTACAGATATTCGCTGTAAGCTGCGTGAATTCAGGTTTCTACAGCATTGCGATGTGACCTTCCAAGTGTTTTTATACAAATAAGTTAAAAGAAAGAGCAGCCCCGGGGGAGGGGGGATGCAAAAAAATGATTTGGAACTTAATCACAGAATGTTGAACTAATTTTCTATTCCAATTAAACTTAATGGTAATTTAATATAGTATTTTAACCCACTTATTGCAGGGCTCGATTTAGTACTAGCCCGGCGTACAATGTCTAGTAAATAGGCTCCGGGCTAGCCTATTTGCCCCTCATGTTGCCCGGTTGTCTAGTGGAGAAAAATTTGCAAGAAAAACAATTTTCTATAAAAAAAAATTTTTTTTAAATCGGAACTTTCGAGACAATCCCTGCACAGGAGGTACCGCAGCCCAGAGGGTACACTCTAGGTAGCTTTCAGCTCTCCACATGCGTGAGTGTTTAATTATTAAGATGATCCCCAAGTCATTCACCAAGCACTACAGGATGGCATGTTATCTTTCTCTCAATAGAAGATCGTTTGATCGTTCAATCTGGTTAATTTAGGTAGTTAGAACATTTTATTTAATGTACTACCTTATAATGATATTTTTAAAATGTTCAACTTTTCAATGCTATAGGTAGGCTAGGCTAGCCCAGGCCCTAGGTCTTGTCTAGGCCTAGCCTAGCCTAGGTAGCCTAAGCAAGATTTATTGCCATTGGGGGTGAGTGACTTGAGACCTAAAGATTTAACAGATGCATTGGTTTGATTGATTTCACGGCCCTTTAGAAATATTAGAAAGCCAAAGTTATAACCAGGGAGATGTAAAACATGCTCATCTGTCCCTATTATAACCAGAGTCGATTTTGCAGCATGGGTGATTTTTTTATTTATTTATTCAACAATATTTTTTTGAGAGGGTAGCTCAAACAGCAATGCTAGAGAAATTCAGAAATTATGAAATTGCAAATCAACCTTCAAATTTAATTGTCGCTAATAAATATTTTGAAACAAAATTTGTTCTTGTCTGTGGGCTAGTTAAATATTCTGTGGGCTAGTAAAATCTCTAGTAAACTAGCCCAGTGGGCTAGTTACCAAAAAAAGTTAGGGCAAGCCCTGTTATTGGAACTAATTTTTCTGCCATGGGGATGCATCTGCATCTCCCTTCCCACAGCCTACTCCCATGTCCTACCAATTGGTTTTATGTTCCTGATGTTTAATCCAATGGTGGGGTAAATTAAAATGCATTTAAACTTGGGTGGCACGATGTGCTATTAACATCAATATAATAATATAGTTTTTTTAATTTTTAAAAAATTACAGTACTTCTTAACACGTAATCAATCAACTATTATTGCATTTGCTGTTGGAGGTAGATTTGAACCCGGAAACGGATTTACTATGATTGGTGCTCATACTGATAGTCCATGTCTAAAGGTAAGCTAGGTTAGGTAAACCACATATCCCAGTTAGTCCATAAACTATTTGTATCATGGTGTTTATATCTCTGACTGAATGCATTTATTATTATAGAATTTTGTTTTGCTAATTCTTAAGTGTTAATATATATACCAGTATTTAGGTTTTTTTTCTCTCTTTATACTATATTTGTATTAATTAAGTTGCCATTGAATTGTCAATGTACTGTTTCTTTTAATTTGTGTGATGGTATATAACAATAGAATAACTAGATTAAATAGTGTTTATAAACAAAGTATAGTGTTGTTAAGCCAATTTGTAAGCATGAACTGTATTGTATTTACATGTTGTTTACTTGTATCTGGAACTCTATATAATGCTGTCACCTTCAAATTTAAAATGTAATTTTGCTCATTTTTTTTTTTTGTATATTTTTTAATTGAATTAGTCTTATTGTGTAATAAATATTTTTTGTATTGTAAATTTTATCCATTATTAATGTAAATTGTAAATATGCTATAATAATTTTTTTTTAATAAAATTAAATTTTAAAATTTGTTTGTATTGCTCATCATTGTTTATGTGATGCTATTATTTGAGTAAATGAAAAAAGGTGAGCATAGCCTAATGCCTATCAACCACTTACAGCACACAAATGAATCTCTATTCTTGTTAGTGGGATTAAAGGTAAAATTTTACCATGGCAAATGGTTCTTGCATATGACTATGGACTTGCAGAAATATACCTTCCTTTTTTGAATATCAGTTGATGTATATACAGGGTACTAACCTGGCTAACGTAATGGTAGACTATTCATTTATTGTGATTTTTCTTTAAATTTACAAGGTAAAACCAAAGTCTAATAAAGTTCGACATGGCTACCAGCAGGTAGGTGTGCAGTTGTATGGAGGTGGAATATGGAATACCTGGTTTGATCGTGATCTTACTGTCGCTGGTAGAGTTTTAGTTAAGGTAAAATAAGCCATATATTTGTAATTTTACATATTGAACTTTTTATTATAGCTAATTTCACTTGGTTTTCACAATGAAGTTGCATTGTGAAATGCATTTTTATTAGCCAAGAAGAGAAGCTCCGGGGAGGCTATTGTTTTTGCCCATGTTCTTTTCCACGCTGTTGTCATCGTTGTCGTTGTCGATGTTGTTGGGTAAATTGTTTGTTACCATGATAACTTAAATTTGGTAAGTCCAATTGAATGCATGATGGTAATAAGAAGACAGAACCTATTGTTTTTGGTATGTGTGTGAATATGTTAATTGATCATTTGCATAATTAATATTTCACTAATCAGATAATTTAGGCTAGTTAACACAATAACTAAAGTTTGTTAAATCTGATTGGTATCAAAGTTGGCAGAATGTAAGATGTTAATAAGAAGATTGAACCAATTTTTTTAGTACATGTGTAATTATGCTAATTGCTCATTTACATAATTAATATTTCACTATTTATAGGCTAGTTACCACGATACCTAAAGTTTGGTCTATGCTTTTACTGCGCAGCGTAAAAGGAGCATTTCTAGTTTTTTTCATATCTGAGAGCAATATACCTATACAGATTTGTCTTTATTCTTAAAAGTTTTTTCATTATAAGTGCTAGTTCTATTTTCTCTAGAGTTAAATATTAATTGAGAAAATCAAACAATTAAATGTTGCTAAATTCCTTGATCATCATTCAATTATCATATCAATGTGATTGCTACAAAGGTTTCTAGGGTGATCAGGGTTCTTAATAAAATTAAATCCATATTACCAAATTCTATCATTTTAACTATATACAAAACCATTATACAGTATTACCAAACATTATGCTATTACAGCATTGGGGGTCTGCAAATTCTATCAGTTTAAATAAAATCCACATACTTCAGAAAAAAAGCCTTACGTATTTGCTGTAACGTCCACTACCTTCACCATTCGACTCCCCTCATTATTTCAACTCAGACGCTTAATATTTTTGACATTTATTTAAAAGAAATGGCTATATTCATGTACAAATAACCTTCTTTTTTTTTTTAATCGATAGGCTGTGACATACTGCCACCTAAAAATAAAGCATAGCATGATTCTCTTCACAGCCCATCAATAGTACATTTTGCCTTATTCATCTCTTTTCTGTTATTTTTTTGTTATTTAATATATTAATCTGTTTATCATAGGAAGGTAGTAATGTGATTCATCATCTTATAAATGTTGAGAGACCGATTCTTCGCATTCCTCACCTTGCTATACATCTGAATCGCAAAATCAACGAACATTTTGGACCTAACTTAGAAAACGAATTGTAAGTATTATAAACTCAAGAAAGTTACTACTGCATATATAATACATACATAAATATGTATTGAAGAGAACTACGGTATTTTATGAACTTTATTCAGGAAAGTTGGATCATGTTTACTATAATAAAAATAATAATTACCGATTATGATTTAAATATGAAAACAGTAAATTGTTCTGTGTGATGACACTGGCCTTTGATAACCTCATTCAAGGTTGTTCTTGAAAACATTAGGTGAACTTCAACAAAAGACAAGCAGAGCATTATAATTAAAATTATCGCTGTGGCTAGAGGCAATGTACTGAATCATGTAAAATTAATAATTTTTTTATGATCTTGTTTTTCTAGACTCCCAATCATTGCCTCTACAATACAAGGACCAAGTTGTCCCACTACACCCGAAGTAAGTTGCTTCTTAAATTACTAATTGATACCAATTATATATTAGTATGTGTATTTGTACAAATGGCAAACAATAGTAGTACAATAGTGACCAATGACTATGTTATAAGCATTAAGATTTTTTTTCTAAATTTTAAAGCATGTTTCAGAACCCCAATGGAAAGCAGTGTTTGATGCTACTTGGGTTTATCCCTATTAAAGATGTTTTTAGATTGATATTTTGTTATTTACTCATGGTTTTTATTTTAGGCTGCAAAACTCTCACCTGCACTGCTGAACATCATATGTAATGAACTCAGTGTTGAGGAGAGCAAAGTTTTGGACTATGAACTCTGTCTTGCAGACACACAGCCAGCGGTCAGTATACTACTTTTAGCAACTTGCGATCTAAATCTTTCAACAAATATGAAACAATTAAAATCATCATAATGTTAACTGTTTCTGTATATTATTAAATTAAACAATCATATCTCAGTATCAAGCATTGTGAGTCACATAACTTTGCTTTACTATGCATCAGTGGCATAAATTATATCCATGAAATATTTAATTTCTATAGGCCATTGGTGGCGCCATGGAAGAATTCATATTCGCTCCTCGTCTGGACAACCTTGTCAATGCTTATTGTGGCTTAATTGTGAGTATGCGTCTTAACAATAACAACTTAATATTCATGGTATCTTTATCCATTCAATTATTCTATTGCAGCTTAAGCTGAAACATTACAATGCTACAGTACAACAAATTTCTAAAAAAAAAAATTATACAGATTAAACACTGAATTACCAACATTATTAAATTATTATTATATACTAAAACAGATTAAAAATAATTAATTATTCAATTTGAGTACCATAACTCATCATCTAAAGCCAATACATTTAATTGCTACAATAGTTGTTAATTAACAAAACTTTGTCCCCTTCCCTCCATTTCCTACCAAATATTTATAACTTCTTTTTTCTAATTCTTCTACTTCATATTAATTTGTGTACTTTATGTCTATTTATCATTCTTTAGATTTCTGAAAAAAAATGTTTCCCTTTCTGTATCATCTCCACCTTCTTCTATGATGTCATACCTTTTTCTTAATTAGTTGGTATAACAATACATAGTTATTATTATTTACCCTTTTCTAATATCCATAGGGCCTGATCCAGTCTTGTGATGAACCAGAAAGCTTGAACTCTGACCCCAACATCAGGATGGCTTTATTGTTTGATAATGAAGAGGTAAGAGAAAACGTTTAATGAAAGTAAAGGTGAACATAAATCAAAAAGGTTTATGTTTTGGTGTGAGGAGTGTATATATAAACGAGTAGACTTCTGTATATTGGTTATTTAATAATTTATAGTTAAATGAAACTGTTGAACCTGATTGATTCATGTTGGTTTTGTTTTGTTTTTATTATTTGATTTAATTCTCTTTATTACTTTGAAGTGAATCAAATACATATATCAGTGAAACCATCTATGTTTTCACTAAATGGTGAACTCCTGTACTTAAAATTATAAATTGTGACTTTGGTATACCTGTATAGAGTAATACAAACTCCATTTTTGTTAACATATAGGTATCTATGGAAGTTGTGTTGGAATAAAATCCACGATCTAGGTATTTAAGAAGGTAAAAATGTCCGATAAAAACAAATTTGTGCAGGGCCTAGAGTGGAATCAGAATGCTTAGAAGCTGCCAACTGTAGGCCTAGGCCCCCCCCCCCAGACTTAGCTGCGTAAGCCTGTAGGCCTAGCCTAGGCCTAGTTTATGCCAGTGTAAGTAGTATCAGTGCAAATATATAGGAATTTGGGTCAACCCCGATTTTACGAATACCCGAATTTACGAATGGCTCTGGGCCCATGCCGTACGTAAATGAGGGGTTCTACTGTAGTTCTATAGTACAGTATTAAGTTAATATCAATATGATATACTATCATCATTTTAGTGTACATAGTAGATTATGGTAAATCTTCTTTCTTTATGTGTTTTGTAAGATGCATAGATCCTCTTATTTACTACTTTCCTTAATTATTTGCAAAGTTTTCCAGGTGTAATCTTCTACAGGCCTCTTGTTTGTATTATATTACCATAAAAAATATGAACTAGCAATAAACAGTTTCATTGAGAGGAATATTTTCCCTAAAAATTAAATTACGAAAAAAAAGTTATCTATGACATTGATATACTGAAATATTTTGCTTTTAGGGTCCTGCAATAAAATTCAATGCAAATCAACGCTATGCTACAACAGCTGTATCTGCCAGTATACTAAGAGTCATTGCAGAGAAAGTGTCCATTCCATTACAGGTAAATAAACTGCATTAGTGTTGATGTATTTATAATGTGACCTATGCTGTGGAGTTGAATAGGTTGGTAGATATGATTTCCTTCCAATCTCAAGGCCCTGGGTTAAATTCCTGTCATGGTAGCATGTTTTTACTCACCACCAAAAACAACTCCATTCCCTAAGCGTCATAATGATTCTGTGTACAGCATCTTGTGTAAATGTTTGTCTGAATGAAGCTTGCTGTTTGGTTGAGTATATAGGCCTTTGTGTTTAATTTTTTTTAAATATATAAAATCTTTTTTTCGTGATGTCACTATTGCAGTGGAAAAGTGCCATCCTATGACAGGGGTTCCAAGTTTAAAGAAGTCATTTCTGGGAGATCTGGTTAGATGAGATTTCTTAACACATCTAACTTTATTATGCTGAATATGGTGATACCCATTGGCACTGTTTTCCGTAAGACAATTAATAATAAAATACTAAAAACATGCAAATATTTTGAATTTTCGGAAGATGGGTTAATTTCCGGGAGATGCCTGCTTGCAGAATTGTAGGAGACCGATCCTGTCTGAACTCAAAACCATGTCACCATGAAAAGTAGACATAAAACTATGAATTATGATGATGAAAACAATGATGTTTTTTTTTATAAAAGCTTGCAACATCTTAAAGGTTTTGGTTTCCAGTCACAAGATTAAAAATGAATTGATAAGTAATTTCCTTGTTCTTAAGATATAGTGTACAATGAGTCATCAGTGTAAAGTTCATAATGAACATCAGTTATAAAAAAAAATTTTGGCTGGACCACTTTTTCTCAATTCTATTACTTTTTAAGTAAATACATACTGATACCCATAAATTATATGAATTTACTATGAATGTTCGCATCACTTTTTAATGTTATATATTTAAACAAAAATCCACCATTGCCTTTGTTTTTTTAGTGCCTATGTACATTTCAACTTTTATGAAGTTTTTCAATTATAGTATAATTAAGACTGATTTTGAAAATGTTTAGTGGTATTAAATTTTGGGGTTGAGTTGGCCAATTTGTCAAGCCGGCACTGATTACACTTCCACTAAATTTAAATCCTGTATCTACCACTGCGTGGGGTTAAAATGGTTAGGGATTTTGCAGGTTGCCAGCTGCTACTGAGCATCTATTTGTTTAAATTTAACGTTCCTAGTCGTACTCGTACTAGAAACTTAATCTATGTTACATTTACTAACTAATAGAGGTTTATTTCAAAGATTAGCTGTTACATATAATAATTTAAGTTGTTCTGATGAAATTGATATTTTTTATGATAGTTTATCCTCGTTTAAGCTTAAAATTAGTAATGTTGTTTGATGTTAGTTATTATTTGTCTCCTTATATGTGTATATGTTTTTCTCCAACCTGTTTTTGGAGGTTCTTTTCTCTGTTGGTTGAGAATTAAATAAATAAAACAAAAATAAATGACATATTTTCAAAATGCTTTCACATCAGGCCCACCATGATGTGGTACGTAGATATACATGTAATACAGTATATCAATTAACTTTAAATGTTGTATGTTCCCAGGGTAGACTATACAATTGCCAACAGCTATTTTGGGCATACAGGCAGTGGCGTAACTACTGGACCCTTAACCACAGGGGCCCCGATACAAAAATCTCTGGTAGGGTTCATGGAGAGTGATTTTATGGTTTAGAATGGCACAAAATTATACTTTTAGACCACAATATTGGGGATTTCGATTGGAGCTTTTTAGACCATGGACCTCAATTGGAGGATTATTTTGTTCTCTGAAATTACTGTATTACTATTTTAAGAATATTACTAAATTACCAAGTTAGTCTGTACCAAATCAAAACTACTGATTTACCATGGGTTTTTTTCGCTTGCACCAAAACCAGACCATCATCTTCAACATCATTATCATAATTATTTCATATTTTTTCTGGGCACCCATATAAACAAAGTTTTCACAGTAGGACCTGTAAAACCAACCACATTCTAACAGTGTGCCCCTCCACCCTTTCACAAAAAAAAGCTGGATTCCTGACTTGAATCTTAGTGTTCTATTAGGTATGTCCTTATCACCTGGTAGGCCTAGATCTGTCCATGGAGGTAATACCTACATGGTCTGTCTGCCATAAATAAACCAAATAAGAATTGACTAAAATTAAAGTGTAAATGGTACAACATCTAGCAAAATCAAACATAAAAGAGAACTGAATTTAACCAACTTTAAAAATTCAATTGATAGTACAACTGGGTCGTGATAATTAATTTTTAACGCTTCAGGCCAAATTTGGCAAGTACCGGTAAGTGTAATTAAAATTGTATCAGGAGAACGTTATTAGAAACTCTACGGTATTCATATTTGTAGGCCTATTAATTCATAGCACATTGCATCGTGTGAATACATAACACACGTCTTCTTTAATTGCGTATTGTTTATGTTTCACAATACCTTGCACGTTGTGTAAATATATATGTGTGCAGCCAGACCAAAACCAGGAATTGTTGTTCATTGTGTTATAATATATTCGTGTTCATTTCACTTTATTTATTCATGGAGGAATAAGAAACTCAATTCATCTAGTTATGGAGCTGATAGAACATAAATTTTGAAAAGTTATCATTTTCACAATAGACATTTGTCTCTATTTGTTAATGGTGGGCTGAGCAGTGTATGAGCTGTCAATGCTAACAGCAGGATGGGAAGGGGTGAGGCTCTACAGGTTTGCCAGCTGCTATCTTCAAGCATCTAGAAGTGCCATATTTCCGAAGAGATAGACTCTGTCTCCATGCTAACTTTAAATCTTGTGGCTGCATTTGAGGGGGACGGGTGGCGACTCTACAGGTTGTCAGCATATATTTCCGGGCATTCAGAGGTTGTTCATTAACTGTGGTGGGGGCTGGGACGGATATGCACTCAGACCCCACTAACTTTAAAATCTTGTATCCGTGGTTAGGGGTAGCTTGTCAGTTTAAAAACCAAATTAAACTCCCCACCTCTTACCATAATGGCTGGACCACTTGCAAAATGCTTCCGACAGCTATGAACAGTGATATGTTTATGTGGTTTGGTTCAGCGGGAATGATTTGGTTTTAATTCCTTACTGTGCATTTCGCTTTTGTCCTTGACCAAGGCACTTTTCTTCATTGCTTCTCTCCACACGGCGGTATAAATAGGTACCTGGTGGGGCTGCCTGCTCCTGCGCTGATTACAGCATGTTGACCAAATGTCCTGGGACAGAAGCACCTCATATCTGCAAAGAAAGGCTAATTAACTGAATAAATAAATAAAATGTTTTTACATGTGAATTATGAATCATATTTGCTTTTGAACTTAATCAATATATTTACTTTACCATAGGATATAGTAGTGAAGAATGATAGCCCATGTGGCAGTACGATTGGTCCAATAATCTCAGCAAAACTTGGCCTGAGGACCGTGGACATGGGTTCACCCCAACTAGCTATGCATTCAATCCGTGAGATGTGCTGTACCTCAAGCATAAGCCAAAGTATAACATTGTTCAAGGTAAAATAAATAGGTTCACTAAAATGTTATTTTTAATTAATTTGTTTATATGGATTTTCAGTAAATATACTGTACTATACCAACATCAAATAACAAAATTCCTAAGTCCCTAATAATTCACTATCCCTAAGTTATACTGGTAGATATCGACCCATTCTCCGCCACAACATCTGATTTAAGCAAGCCATACTTTAATTTTATTTTAACAACAGAATTGATCCATTAATTTAAAAAATCCTTTTATTTAATAGTTGCAATATTATCTTGTTTTGCATTTATTGTATATAATTATTGTAAATATTGTTGATGCAGATGTTTGCCCTTGATGACATTAGTAGCTAATAAAATTGAATTGAATTGAAATAATTTACAGCGTTGGTTATTATTATCTGTAGATAAATGTAATATTGTTACATTTTGTGTTCACTCAGTATTTGAATTGTGTTGAAATAAGTTTACTTTTTATTTTTTACAGGCTTACTACAGTACATTCCCTGCCGTAGATGAATCCTTCATTGTTGAGTAAAGGTGGCCTGGTCTTCAACAACTGACGTCAAATTTTCACTACACCATAAAAATATATTTCTATTTTGAGATGTTTTTTTTAGGTTCAAATTTTCCTAATTTGTCTACTACTATTACAGTTAAATATTAAATTTTTATTATATAATTTTCTGGAGCACTGGTGAGTACAACATCATTGTTCTCCATCTGGACACAATAATGCAGTAATTTACATCATTGTTCTCCATCTGGACACAATAATGCAGTAAACTAATAAATTATTTACACAGGCAGACAGTAAGAAACCAAGTACAATATTGAGAATGATTAATGTATAGTATGTCAATAAACTAGATTATAATTAAGAAAAAAATTATTCTGTTACAGTATACACAAACATGCACTGTATATATCATCAACATATGTACATGTGTGATCAGATATATCTGCATGTATCCTCCCCGTATTTGTGTACTATAAGCCGTAAGGGCTTTGTCTGAGGCCGGCTGATAACATGTTTTGCCCTTGTGTTAGGCTGAAAGGATATTGAATTAGTGTGTGTGCAGGAGTGGAGATTTTTGCCACAAGGACAGTTTGGTGTAGTGGATACCGGCAATATAATTGCACAAACTATGCTGTATGTTTGTTACAATACACGTTACTTTGGCACAGTCAACCCATAATTATAAACTACAGCATTTTTTCATACCAAAGCAGGGGCAGTTTGGGTGGGGTGAGGGTACCTCCCCTTTTGCACAGTAAAAAGAAGGGAAAAAAAGAGAAAGAGAAATTATTGATTGCCCCCCCCACCCCTTGTTTTACATTTCTCGATCTGCCCCTGCAAATTTGGTCAATAGCAAGATGTAGGTTAATACCTACAACTTGCTTAAAAATATCAAACTTACAGGACTTATTAGTGCTGTAGATTTTTCGAATTCTATGTTTTAGAAATAACAGTGTTTCTAAATTATAGATTTGTGTTGCCCAATGTTAAGACTTCTTAAGTAAACAATACAATGTCTGTTATCAAGTTTTGTGCACAATCTTAATTAAGACCCTGTAATAGATCTTTCTGAAGTGTTGGTTAAACAACTGACCAAGCAGAACATGTTATTTAGTGGATGGGACCAGGAAAATGAGTATATCCTGCAACCCACACTGAGCACTCAACCATATTTCTTCTGTGGCTGTAATTTTGTGCAACATGTTTAAGTGGCAATGCTTAGCAGAATGCTCCATTTCCATTTTAAGTCCCTAGGATAACATATTGAAAGTCTGTTGTTACTGTGAATTGTTTGTTATTTTCAAAGTGTACAATCAAGTTGGCAAAAACAAGTTAAATAGAGCAAGTTTATTTTGTATGTATTGTAATTTGCAATAATAAAACAACTAAAAAACAAAATTTGTGTTTCTTTATTAGTTTTTTTTTAATGCATCTCATATACTGTATTATTGCTTTTTTTTATCTGATTTATTGAAAGTACTGTAAATAACAAAGGCAATTATTTTAAATTAGCAACTAAAAGTTTTATGTTGTTTTTTGAGGTTTTCTCCAGTTTTGTTGGTGGCAGGTATTCCAAATTAGGCCTAAAAAAAATTGTTTGTTTGCCCCCCAGCGCCCACCCCTAGCTCATGGAAAAATAAGGGCGACATTTTTTTTAACAAGGTTTTTTTTTCCGATTTTTTTTTCACAAATTTCACAAAGTGATCTTTATTTTTCTCCATTTTGCACATGAAAGCTGTCTAAATTTGGTGTCTGATGTAAGGTATTGCCATTCTAGGTCTAAATGCCTGCCCCTCCTATACAATTTTTAGCAATAAAGGGCAAAACAAACAGTTTATTTTTTTAGGCCTTACACTACGGGCAGAGTTGGGTGTATGCGTGCATTTTTATTTGGGTTAAGAGTAAGTTTGCAGTGAGGAGTAAATTCATATTTTAAAAGATAACTTTAATCGCATCAACTGTATTTTGCACTATATAAGTCTAACAACCAGAGGACCCACTAATTACAGTAGTTTAAAAAAAAACAAAAAGACAGTTAACTCTGAAAAGACATTTTGAGATTCAACGTTTTGATCTATTTGATGATATGATATCAAGAGAAAGTCTTGCCCATCCCTATATACAGGTATTTACAATATTTGCAGTATAAGTATAACAGAAAGTAAATCAAAACTGAACAATCAAATTGAAAAAAAAATAATAAAACTCATGTAGATCACAAAATAGATAGTGGCAGATAAATGTCAGTCAAGAATAAAAATTCTGTTAAAATTTAATTTCACCATAAATATGATGTCAGAAACAGTGGCGGGGCAGGGGAATTAAGCCCCCACCCCCCTCCCCCGCATCGGCCAAAGCTTGTCAGGCAGTTGGACCAAAATAAAAAAGGCCTAGTTTTCCCATCCCAGCAATTTCCGGCCATCTGGAAGTCCCAATTTTAAAAAAATTCTTGTTTTGGGAGGAGGGGACAACCCTTTTTTACACCCACTCCTGGCTCCGGCCTTCGGTCCTCAGATAACGCTGCACGCTATAATTACACCCATAAATACTTAGCCCCCCCCCCCAGTCGGGCACCTTACACATCTAGATGTGTATAAGAGACACCCCATAAATGATATCCTAGAGCCGCCACTAGTCAGAAAAAGGAAAAATAATGTAATTTCAAGGAAAAATAGAATAAGAACACAGGCCAAAAAAAGTGTAGCCTAATGCAGACCAATAAAAAACCTAGAGTAAGATTTTTATTTAAACTCAACTTTTTTTCTCAGCATATGGCCATCTGTTTGTTGTGTAGTACAGTAGTACCTTTTTATATGGTGTAATCTTTTTAGTATCTTATCAATATCACGTAGAAGAACAACTTCAGGTGATACAAGCTTCTTTTCTGTGTCTAAACAAAGCCTTTATTATTATTATTATCATACCTTGATTTTATATATTTTAATTAGCATAATTAATGTAGCTCTGACTGGTAGATTCACCACTAAACAAAAATATATCTTACTTGTTCAGTGTTTTTGTTTTAAAATATTAATATGTGTTTGAAACTTTTAATATGTGCAGGTAACAGCATTGTAGGAAAATTCTATCTATAATTGACATGGGAAAAAAAAAAGTTCGCCCAATGTGGGGCTCGAACCCACGACCCTGAGATTAAGAGTCTCATGCTCTACCGACTGAGCTAACCGGGCTTGTTGAATACTGACCTGCGCTATGAATTCTATGTACTAAAAAATGGCGCGAAAAGCACGTCTTTGGTCTTGTTATTATTTTGAAAAGGCTATTCTATTTTTGTTTTCGTCTTTGTAATCAAAGTACAGTGTTATTACAGTACTGTTAGATTTTCATACAAAAAGTAGTTTGTTATATTTTGAAGAATTATTATGAATAATGGGAAATATCGCTTTGTTCGCCTGTAATGCATAGGCAGAATTTGTACGTATTCCCGACAAAGACAGCAAAGACTTCGTACTATCAACTCGCGTTCCCCTATTTTAGTGAATAGTTGCGCCCTCACACACATCTCATCAGCTGCATTTTGTCGGATGTCATTTGTCAATGGTCGTGCTGAATAGGATTTTATGTGATTGTTTTTCGAATATTATTACTATTATTTACATTAGCCTAGGTGAAAACCTCTGTTTTTAATTCATAAATATGGCAGAAGCCAGAAGTGCTGTTGGTGAACCTATTGTTCATGCACTAGATGAAGAGGAATCGAATTCATATTTGGCAGCTTTGAACGAATTTCGACGTTCGACAAGACGGAGGTTCTTTCGCACAAGGTAGGTAGGCCTAGGGGCCTAGGTAGGAGGAGGAGAACGTGGACGAAACCGATAAATACGGATTGTATCGTGATACAAAAATAGGCCCTACCATGCCTAGCCAGGCCTCTAGGGTAGTTTTTATTGAAGTCTAGCTAGATCGGCCCTAAATTTCTTATCCCATTCATTGATTCGTATGTGTAAATAAAATACGGAAATCGAGTAAAAAAATCTTTCACCGGGGCCCAGGCAGGAATCTGTCGTTCGATGATGTTTGTTTACTTAACTTAGGCCGAGGCTAGGCCTAAGTACTACTAAAATACTTATTTTAAATATAGTTTTGTATTCACATTTTGTATTTAAATATTAATGCTTTCTTAATTTACTTGTAATTCTTGTGTATTTCTGTAACTTGTAAGGAGAAGCTATTGTAATTTTGTTCATGTTCTGTATAGTGATCCTGATTTTATATATTGTTATGCATTTTAGCTTTGTGCTACCGTTTTGTATTTGGCGTTTTTATACCTCAATAAATATATAAATAAAAAATAAATTTTATGCCAAGAATTAAATGTTCAATCAATCAATCAATCTTTATTTTCCATCATGAATAAAAACAACACAAGAAAAGATGGAGGAAATACAACAAAGGCATGGCCTGACAATGTGTTGTATTACCTTAGCAAAAAGACAGTTGTATTCAATATAGAATATTAAAAAACATTAAAAATACACATTATCTAAACAAATTACATTAAAGCAGATACACAGACCCACCCACCCCTATGAAATACATGTAGCCAAAATGAACAAGTAATCATTTATTAAGTCAGAGTATGGCCATAATGTTAACTTGCATTAAGAGACTGGATGTGCTTAGAAATCTGAATTTTAAAATGATTGACAAGTACAGTATAAGAGTTTTTAACTCTTTCTGGCAAATTATTCCAAAATTTAGGTCTAGTTGAAAATACAGATTCAATCTTATGAATATCTAGTCGATAGTTTTTATTTCTAGTATTGTACCCATGAATACTTCAACAACAAAATGAAACAAAAACTAATCCTACTCCTTAAAATATGTTTAGCCATAGAATGCTAAGAGCTCATATTTCTTGTGCTTTAAAAGTTTATAACTTTAACTTTTTGATATGATGATATTTATAATGAATATATATTTGTAAGATGATATGTCTTGTACAAGGATTATTTCTACCGTTAATTGTTGTCTGTTATTGAATTTTATGAGTCAATATCTACAAACCATCCGTGAACTAATTTATTGTATGTGTCTAACCATACAAATTGTATTGATAAAACAAAGTGTAAAGTATGACACTAATATTCTTGTGGACTGATCTGGTGATTGTTAATGTTTGTTGATGCGATTCCACGTTTCTGCAATGATGCCCTGTTGCATCCATGGATCATTGCGATTGATTGAATTGAATTTTGAATTTGTAATTAATTGTAGGTCGCTAGTTTCTGTGCTGTCAGGTTATCATACTAATTACCATCAACAAGCGTTGTTGATAGTAATTTGTGGATGCGGTTTAGCGCAGTGTGAAAGGTTTGGTTTCCCAACCTCGAGGTCGGGGTTTCAATCCCTTGCTGTCCATGTCGCTTGTGTCCTTGAGCAAGGCACTTTATCTGCATTTGCTTCTCTCCACCCAGGAGTTTAAATGGGTACCTGGTGGGGTTGCTTGTTCCTGCGCTGAATACAGCAGCAACACTTAGCATGTGGATCCAATGACCGGGGACAGAAGTGCTTCATATCTGCAAAGAAAGGCGCTATATAAATATATATGAATAGAATAGTAATTAGTATGTGTGTACCTTAATACTAATTATCATCAACGACGCTTGTTGACGGTATTTAGTATGTGTACAGTGATGCTCAATACCGTCAACAACCGTCATACAATTTGCATCCTGTGATATACACAAGGCATAAGCATATAGATTAATAATACAGTTATATTGATGATAAATAATAATATTAATAAATTATATATACATCGATTACACAATTATACATTATATACACATATGGCCTACGTAACATAGGTAAATAGATTAATATTGATATTTATAATGATAACCCAGATGATACCCAAATGACGGTGATTAGTATGTGTACAGCAAACTAAGTACTGTTAACAACCATCATACAATTAGCATGTGATATTCACAGGGCCTACCTAGGCAAATAGATTAATACTAATATTTACAATGATAAATAATAATAAATAATAATAATAGTAAAATAATAATGTATTTTATTTATATACAAGTAATAATAAAACTGATGATAAATATAATAAATAATAACAATAATAATAATAAATGATAATAATAATGTTTATACATTGATCCCACAATTATACTTATACTAATTATAATACGCATTTATGGGCTACATACTGTAGGCAAATATATTAATAGTTATATTGATAAATGACTTAGTTAATCGTTTATACCCAAAACAATGTTATTATCCAAGGTCTATAGCAAAGAACTTTAGAACTAATTATAATAATTTGAAACATTATATATATATATATA